GATGCTGCGCAGGATTCATTGGCTCCCTAGAGGCATGCTGTTGGGAGGAAAAGCTACTATGCAGTCTGCTATTGGTCAGGAAATAGGTGTACACAGGTGCCACAGGGTCTGGAAGCTGTGCAGATTGATGCCAGATCAGCTGTTGAGCCCTGTGCAAGCATGTGCGGTTGCAGCCCATCCCAGCAGCTCTGTGTAGGCCTGCCGTGGAGAGTCAAAGACCATCCATAAAGAACTGAGAGTCCTGGGAATTTATCCATGTCAATACATTCTTTTTTACATTATCAACTGAAGGAAAATGAGTACCCTTTAAAGATTTTTTAAGATTAGAAAACAAAAAGTCAGAAGGAACCAAGTCAGTACTATAAGGTGGATGCCTCATGATTTGTCATCGAAACTCTCACAAAATTACACTTATTTAATGAGAGGAATGAGCAGGAGCATTGTCATGGTGGAGAAGGACTCTCTGGTGAAGCTTTCCCGGGCATTTTTCTGCTAAAGCTTTGGCTAACTTTCTCAAAACACTGTCATAATAAACAGATGTTGTCATTCTTTGGCACTCTAGAAATTCGACAAGCACAATGGCTTGAGCCTCCCAAAAAACCGTTGCCATGATCTTTTTTCTTGACCAGTCTGCTTTTGCTTTGACTATACCACTTCCACCTGTTGGTATCCATTGCTTTAATTGTGCTTTGTCTTCAGGATCATATTGGTAAAGCTATGTTTCATCTCCTGTTACAGTTTTTCAAAGAAATGCTTCAGGACTTTGATCCCACTTGTTTAAAATTTATACGGAAAGCTCTGCTCTTGTCTGCAGTTGATCTGGGTGCAACAGTTTTTGCACCCATTAAGTGGAAAATTTGCTCAACTTTAATTCTTCAGTCAGAATTGTGTGAGCTGAACCACTTGAGAGGCCTATCGTGTTGGCTATTGTTTCTGCTGTTTATCATTATTCCTCTTCAATTAGGGTGTGAACAAGATCAATTTTTTCCTCAAAGATTGACATGGATGGTTTGCTGCTGCAGGCTTCATCTTCAACATCATCTTGTCCCTTCTTAAAACAAATTATCAATTTGTAAACTGCTGATTTCTTTTGGGGATTGTCCCCATAAACTTTTTAAAAAGCATTAATGATTTCACCATTCTTCCACCCAAGTTTGGCCATTAATTTGGTGTTTGTTCTTGCTTCAATTTTAGCAAAATTCATGTTTGCTCTGATAAGGGTTCTTTTCAAAGTAATGTTTTATCCTTTTTAATGCCTCAAACTAGATCCTGTTCAGACATGTTACATCAAGTTAGCACGAGTTTATTTTGGTGCAAAAAAATTTTGAAATCCATGCATAGTTTTCTCATAATATACATTTTTCATGAGCTTTTGAAGACCCCTTGTATATATACTTGTGTGTTTATGTTTAAGTATGTGTGTACATGTGTGTGTAAATGTGTAAAGTCAGATAAGGCCTTTAGTAAAAAAAGGAAGGCAGATAGGAGAATAGGTGAATATTCTTTTGAATAGAATTAATTAATATGAATTTATTTACCTCTTGAATATTATTCTTGAATATACTCAACAAATGTATTCTTTGCATCAGTTTAAAGAATGTTTATTTAGCGTAAAGCTATAGAACATAGTATAGTTTACTTTAAAATATAATTTTCATTAATATGTTCAGAAAACACATATGAGGGTACTTCAAAAAGTTTGTGAAAAAATGAAATTAAAAGATAACACGAATCTTTTCATGAACTTTTTGAAGTACCCTCATATGCTCTAGAACAGCATTGGCCAATAGGAATGTCATACGAGCCACAAATTGGAGCAACCTAGTAATTTTCAATTTTCTAATAGTCACTTTAAAAACATGAAAAAGAAATAGGTAGAATTAATGACACATTCTATTTAACACAGTATATCCATAATATTATTTTTTTAACATATAGTCAGTAAAAGTTGTAAATTATTTTCCTTGCATTTTTTTCTTTGTACTAAGTCTTCTAAATTCTGTATGTATTTTACTCAATCAGCATATTTCAATTCAGACTAGCCACCTTTCAAGAGCTCAGTAATAACATCTATCTAGTGACTAATGAATTGGACAGTGAAGTTCTATAATATATTGAACATGTTGAATATATTAAATATATTCTTGATATTTAGTTGAACATATAATTGTATATTCTTAGGTAAGAGTACATTAGTGAGAAATGCATTTATAGTCATGAGTAATACATTTATAAACTCATTCACTGACTGTGTTAGTTGAATATATTTACTTCAATGAGAACTATTTTATAGAGATTATATTATTCATATTTTTGACTGTCTTCGAAAAGAATATTCCTAATATTGATTTTTTATAAATTTAGAAAATAGTTGATTTGATAAATTGGTTTCTAATAAATACACCTACTGAAACAGAATTGATCAGATTATCCCCTTTGTAATCTGAGTCTAAACTCTTCTGATACTACATTCTGTTATTCCTATACATCTCAAGATAGAGTCTGTAGTTGTAATAACTGCATAACATTTACAAAAGTACTATGCGCTTTCTTTTCATATTTCTTTGCTTTTTCATGTTATTTTATCCCTCCACAAAGTCCTTCACCTCCTGATCCGGGTCGTATACTCATCTATCACCTAATTTATTGAATTTCTTAGTAATTCCTTTGTCAGTCAGGTTTCATTCATAAAACTGAAACTATTCTACATAATTAATTAGTAAGGGATTAATTCAGAAAATTAGATGCTTGGACTGGAGAGTGGAAAGTCAATGGAGCCACCACCAACTTTCAGATATTTACTACAGCTGTGGTTCACAGAGGTATTGACTGTTGCCATTCAGAAGTTAGAAAACTGCAGGAAATTGCTTCAGATGTCATAAATAAACAAATTAGTATGAGTTTATTTTGGTACTAACATTTTGCAGTCCATGCACAGTTTTTTTATAATACGCATCTTCCGTGGACTTTTTGAAGACCTCTTGTATTTAGGCATGGTGGACTGTTTATCAATAGACCTGTTAGGAACTGGTTCAGATTCAAGATAGCCCCTAATTCAAATGTTCATCCACCCCAGTGGAGTAACTAACATATGACTAACAAGTCATATAAACTTAGCACCCCCTCCTCACCCTTATTTATTTGTAGAAGGCTATTTGATCGATGACCTACCTTCTTTCTTAGCCTGTCCTTGCCTGGGACTGTGATACCTTGCTTCTCACCATATACCTTGTTCAATTTATGTCTGGGTTCTAATTGTTAAAGAAAAGATAATGTGTGTATTCTAGTAAGTAAAGGAGAGGAAAGAGAACAGTAATCTTTGTTCAGTGATGGCCTTTGATTTTCCTACTTTACCCCAGAATTTATATGGGCTGTTATTTAGGTTACATTTAAAAATGCAACACTATGATTTGAATAACACTAAAATTAAAAAGGACTTTCACATGCATTTTCAATTGATTCTCCCAAAATTCTGTAGATTGAGTTAAATAATTAACCTAAAATCTTAAATACTTTTTGCCTACACTAGTACTTAAATATTACTTTTTAAAAAAGACATCTTCAGCAGTTAAAAGTCCTTGGATACTATTGATCTCTGTTTGCTTTGGGGCCTGGAAATAACAGGATCGCCCACGTCCTCTTACCCCCAGCCATGGGATCCATTACTTGGAGTGGGAGGGAATGGACTTTGATCTCAACAGGTGGAGGAAGTAGGAGCCTCTTTCTCTTGTAAGCGGGGAGCTATGGGTCTAGCATCCAGTAGTGAAATTCTGACAGGGGTCTCTGTGGAGGACTGTTTCTTGTACAGGAGTTTCTCTACTACAGTTTCTTTACCACTGGTCGTATTACAAATGGTATCGTAGGGATCAAATAGACTATTGCAAATTTGCCATAGGACTCAACTACTGTAATGTTATTTTACAGGTCTCTGTGGAGGACTGTTTCTTGTACAGGAGTTTCTCTACTACAGTTTCTTTACCACTGGTCGTATTACAAATGGTATCTTAGGGATCAAATAGACTATTGCAAATTTGCCATAGGACTCAACTACTGTAATGTTATTTTACACATTCACTTAACAAATATTTGTTGAAAACCTACCATGTACTAAGCCTGGGGGCAGCATAGCAGCAAATGAGTTTAAAACATGTTCCAGTCCTTATGGAGCCTTTAAAAAAAATTTTTGTTCTGGTTTACCATCAGACTTCTGGAAACATTTACCATTTCTAAATTAAAGGATGCCTATATTTTGCCAAAACAAAAGTAACAGAGAAAAGATCAAGCTTTTTAATGGTCACATAAAGATTATTTCAAGAAAGATAATAAGGAATCAGGAAGGCAATTTTGAGTTTCGGTTTTAACACTTATTCAAAAGCTAGTTATTGTGATACTAAGTAGTGTATTTGTTCAACAAATACTAATTGCTTGCCTCATAGGTAAGGAGTAGTGCTCTTTGCCTGGAAACAGCAGGAAACAAAACAGACCTACCCCTGCCCTCATGAAGCTTATGCCTTAGTGGATTAGTTTTATAAACCCTTTTGTTTGGGAATATTGTATGAACAAGGTTTATAGTGTTAACTAAAAATCCCCATAGCTCTTTGGAAAAGACTTTCCAAAATCTAATATTTGTTCTTAGACAGCTGTGGATGCACTTCCTTCCTTAGCTGTAGTGACACAAAATTAATATTCACTAAAATGATGATTTTTTTTTTAATCTCTAATTTCTTTTACAATCTTTAAATGCTGGTATAGTTGGGTAGAACTATGAAAAAGTAAAATAAAGAAAAAATTTAAGGCCAAGGTCTTAAGGTTTTTCCTGAATGATGTGTCCTAAAGAAACCTGATGTTTTACAACTTAAATTTCTTAAAACCAAGTATCATGAGTTAAAGACTAGTTTTAAACTTTCTGTTTTTAGTGGTTTTGTAAACTGTACAAACTATTTTAGGAGAAGGATGTGTTTTTGCATTATACCTTTCCTAATTATATTTTGTCATTTTAGGGGTTTAACAGTAATGTTTGAAATAATGAAAACATACGGCCACACTTACGAAAAACACTGGTGGCAGGATTTATTTAGAATTGTTTTCAGAATCTTTGACAATATGAAATTGCCAGAACAGCAGACAGAGGTAAGAGAACACAAAATTCTCATTTAGTATAGTCAAATTAAATGATTCTTAATATTTTCTTCAATACATTTTAGTGTTTTAATAAATTAAGCATGTTGAACAGAAAAGGATTCCTATTTTCTTTAAGGTATTAGAATATAATAGTATGTCTTTATAAACAAGAATACTGGGGATAGAACAGAGTTAGTTGATTGGTTTTTGTTTTCAGTGTTTTTGTTGAACTTTCGGTTTCTTTTCCTAATTTTGATCTTGTCACAAATATAAAACATCAGTAGCTTTCTTTAGTATTACACAGTGACTTCTTATTTTGAGTAGAAAATATGAAGTAAAATTAAGTGGGAATTAAGCAGGAATTAAGTGGTCCAAAAAGAACACTAACAACCTTACATTTTAAATGTGCAAACATAATTCTTTTTCAATTCTAGTAGTTGATGAATGTTATGACCTTCATTTAATAACTTTTTTCTTCAGAAAGCTGAATGGATGACAACAACTTGCAATCACGCACTTTATGCAATCTGTGATGTATTCACCCAGTATTTAGAAGTACTCAGTGATGTACTTTTGGATGATATTTTTGCCCAGCTATACTGGTGTGTGCAGCAAGGTAGGTCTGTATCAGATATGTGAAACAAAGTGTTAAATGTGACCCTGGTAATATGTAAATGAATTGCTCTTTTCTTTTCTAGACAATGAACAGTTGGCACGATCTGGTACAAACTGCTTAGAGAATGTTGTTATTCTGAATGGTGAAAAATTTACCCTAGAAATCTGGGATAAAACCTGTAACTGCACACTGGATATCTTCAAAACCACAATCCCACATGCGTAAGAAGATTTTATACAATCTTACATTTATATTTGTACGTCAAATGAATTTGATAGTGACTAGTGATTTCTCATAACAGAAATCCTTTTAGGCACATCTCAATGTTACATGGGTTCAGATTTATTACAAATCGAATGCATATAAACCATAACAAGTACATAAATTAAATTCTTAGTAAACCAAAACCTTTAGTCTGATAATCCAAAATTTGGGTCATAATGAAATGATTGCATAAGGCTTTTCTTTATACAGTCAAACCAAGCAGTAATTTTGAGTTAAAAAAAAAAAAGAAAGAAAACTCAGCATTGGTTTTAGTTACTGTAGATTTAATAATCTAAGGAAAATCTATTTGCACATATTATATTTTACAATTAATTATCATCTTTTTCTAAGGGATTAGTTTGGAATTGAATTATAGTGAGGTACTTTTTATCAATGGGGAAACTAAGACGTAATCTGGCTGACACTGATAGCACCTGGATTATTTGTAGAACAGACTCGAATTTACATCTCAGCTTAACCCTGGGGGCTTTCTGATCTGCACAGTTTGTCTTAGATGTACAATTTTTAAATCTACAGGTAGACTCCTTCTTAAAACATCTTATAAAGTAGACACAGATATGCACTGGCACAAAACTATATTATCAATTAGTCCAGATTTTTAAGCTTCATAAACTTTTCTTTGAGATGAGTTAAATGTTTGTACTCTTATAATTCCCTTGTAAATATCCTAATCAGTAGTAAATAAGAAGTCAAATAAAAGAAACACACCCCTAGAAAAGCGTTCTCTAGGCAGAACTATACTGTTTCCAACTATTGTATAATTTTTCTTACTTTTTGGTGTACTTTTTTGTTGGAGCAATGTTAGTAACTGATAAGTGATCCATGTGTCAGTTAATCTGTGACCTTTTATGTCAAAGATAGTATAAATTCTTGCCTAGCTGATGTCCCAGTGAAATCTTTACAAAAACCAGTTGGACAGTTCTATTTTGTAAGAGCTTTATCTGTTTTAATTTATTGAATTAAACACTCAGGATAATATATATGACCTTAAAGATCAACTAATAAGCATCTCTTAATAGAAAATATCTGTATCAGAGGACTTTCCACATTCAACTGAAACGATCTATTTGTCATTTATCTGCACCATTCCCCAGGAGCTCCTGCTTCTCAGAAAGAAATTATTCCTTAATCATCTTTCCCAAGCCCCTGATTCAGGGTGGCAAGTTAGTTTCTCTTTTGAACCAAATTTTGCCTTATTTTTATACATTTAAAAATATATCATCTGAGGAGTTTTTTGGATTTTGAGTTTATAGTTTTAATTTTATGAATTTTTTGAAAAGTCTCAAACTTTTAAAAAATCTTTGGAAAATATTTCATGAGATAAATACTTAGAAAAAGTAGGTTTAAGGTTTTTGAGACTTTTCAGAAAGTATTTTTTATTGTTAAACTGATGACCAGATTGCCCTTTTAATTACATTAAATGTTACTTAATTATTTTTGATGTACATACTTTAAACTTCTTACTAGTTGTTTTTCAGCAAATTGCTCTTAGTAGTAGGCAAAGGTGGACTGTTTTTGGTATATTCTTGTGACTTTTTTGCACCCATTTCAAATTGTGTTGGATATGTCATGTAGCATGCCCCGCTCCCCCAATCCTAACCCCCTTCCCCTGTGATGAGTGTGATTTTGATGTCTTAAAGGCTTTTGACCTGGCATCCCACTTCTGGAGAAACTGCTCCACCACCTCCATCTCCTGTGAGTGAAAAACCATTGGTAAGTTTTAATAAATCACATTTAGAATTAACTATTTGTGATAAGTAATTTTACCATGGGTCAAATTCTTATAATCTGTGAGTGTCTTAGTTTGTTCCTGCTGCCGTAACAAAACACCTGAGACTAAGTAATTTATAAATAATACAAATTTATTTTTTTACAGTTCTGGATTCTGGGAAGTCCAAGATCAAGGCACCAGCAGGTTCGGTGTCTGGTGAAGGTTTCTCTCTTTTAAGATGGCACCTTCTTGCAGAGTCCTCATGTGGCAGAAGACAGAAAGGCAAAAGGGCCTAGCTAGTTCCCTCCAGCTCTTTTCTAAGGCACTAATTGTATTTATGAGGGCAGAATAACCTCGTAAAGGCCACACCTCTTAATACTGTTGCATTGGAGATTGTTTTAACATGAATTTTGGAGAGGACATAAGCATTCAAACCATAGCACTGAGTCCAGCTCTTTTAAAAAGATGGTATTATTTGCTATGTAGAATTTTCAAGTTAAATTTCATGGTGGTAAATTCCACAGATAACTAAAATTTAACTCTGTCATTGCTATGAAGGAGATATTTTAAGTTATTTTTTAATATAAGACATAGAGTAAAATGATTTCAAGGGTTGTAAGAGACAGGTACCAGATTACATAGAGATATCCATGCCAAGATGTAGATATTTTTGGACCTTATTTTATTTATACCTTTTATTCTGATATAATTTCACCTTGCAAAGAATTCTAACATATCCTTCATCAAGCGTATTGGTTTCCTAGGTCTGCTGTAACAATTTACTGCAAACTCGGTGGTTTAAAACACCAGAAGTTTATCATAACAGTTTTAAAGACCAGAGGTCCAAAATCAAGGAGTTAGCAGGGCCACCCTCCAAAGGCTCTAAGGGAAAATCCTTCTGTGCCTCTATCAGGTTCTGGTGGCTGCTGACAACCATTGGCATTCCTTGGCTTGGACACACACCGCTCCAATCTCTGCCTCCATCTAAACATGGCCAGTGAGCACACGCGTGCGTGTGTGCGTGTGTGTGTCAAATCTCCCTCTCCTTTCTTTTATGAGGACATTAGTCATTGAATTTAGAGTTAATCTCATCTCGAGGTTCTTAACTTAATTACAACTGTAAAGGCCCCATTTCCAAGTACAGTAACATTCACAGGTACCAGGGGTTAGGACTTGGACATATCTTTTGGGGGCCTCTGTTCAACCCACTAAAATCTACCTTCTGGACCAATTTACCCTCTAGAAAAATTCATGTTCATGCCAAAGGCAAAAGACATTCACCCCTTCCTAAGATCCCCAAAAGTCTCAACTCATTACAGCATCAACACTAAACCCAAAATCCCATCTCAATGTCATCATATCAGAAGTCCCAAATCTTGTCATCTCAGTCACCTAGATCAAGAATGGCTGAAACTTGGGGTATGATCTATTCTAAGGCAAAATTTATTTCCGTCTATTGACCTGTGAATCTAGAAAACAAGTTACCAGCATCCAAAATACAATGATGGGACAGGAATAGGACAGATATTCTCTTTCCAGTAGGTAGAAATTGGAAGGAATAAAGAAGTTACTGGTCCTAAGTAAGTTTGAAACCCAGGATGGCAAATTTTAAGTTTTAAGGCCTGAGAATAATTCTCTGTGGCTTAATGTTCCACCTGCTGGGCCCATGTCTCCTTGCTCCTGGGCCTGCAGCTCTGCCCTCTCAGTGATTTCTCCTTTTTCTTAAAGATCGGCAAATGTTTGCAGCCAATTAGCTCTATCAGCCCATTTCCTGCCTGTAGAACCCCAAGAGTCTGACAGCCTTCCTTCATTTGACCCTCTTTCTGTCCCTTCAATCCAGGCTACCTCTATTTCTGCTGGTGTATTATTCTCAAAATCCTTGTGGGTCTCCTGTATTTGTTAAGGATCCATGCCATTAAACAGGTGGATTATCCACCAATCTTTCCTACTCCGTTCTTGGCTTCCTGGGTAATCCGACTCCGTTCTTGGCTTCTGCAGAGATGGTTGATTGGATTCATTAGTCACATACCTAATCTCTTTAGCAAAAATTGTCTAGCCATAACTTTGGTTGGCCTTCTCTCTAAAGCATGTTTTTCTAACAATGAAATTCCTAATTTTAGCATCCTTTGCAACCTGCATAGGCTAAGATCCTTCCAAATCATCAAGTGCTAGTTTCTTTTTGTTTAACAGTTCTTTCCTCAGCTTATCTTTCTTCTTGCATTTTGCTGTAAGCAGCAAGGAGAAACCAGGCCACACCTTTAACACTTTGCTTGGAAATCTCAGTTAATCTGTTTCCCACCCAGCAGTACACCACCATTTGGCCAAGTTCTCTGCCACTTTGAAACAGGGGTTACCTTTCTTCCACTGTCCAGTAACATGTTCCTGATTTCCTTCTGAGACCTCATCAAAGCACCTATTTACATTCATATTTGTGCTAACATTCTGTTCGTGGCTATGTATGTACTCTGTAAGGTGGTAGAAGCTTTCTGTACCACACATTTTACCTTTTTCTGAATCCTCTCCAGAAACACATGTAGTGTCCGTATTTCTACCAACAGTCTCTTCTAGGCAATCTGGGCTTTTTCTATCATATGCTACAAAACTCAGCCTCTACTATTACTTACTTCCCAAAGCCACTTGCACATTTTTAGGTATTTGTTACAGCAGCACCCCATTTTGTAGTATCAAAATCTCTCAGGGCTTTAGCAGAGAACAGAACTAGTTGGAGAGAGACATTGTATTTCAAGGAATTGGCTTATGTGATTGTGGGGGCTGGCAAGTTTGAAATTTGTTTGGTGGGCTTGCAGGCTGGAATCCTGGACAGGGGCTGAAGCTCCAGTCCACAAGTAAGGTTTCTTCTTCCTCAGGATCTGTTTGTTCTTAAGGACTTTCAACTGATTGGATGAGGCCCACACAGAATTTGAGGATAATCTCCTTTACTTACTTAAAGTCAACTAATCATAGATGTTAACCACATCTATCTTCATCGCAACACTTGGATTAGTGTTTAATTGAATTAATTGTTAGTTCTTTGGCTTAAGTATTTGTCATAAGCATATAGGACATTGTTATTATGTCCTAGCCAAGTTGACATATAAAACTAACCATTATACCAGCTCTCTCCAAATGTTGTCATTTTACTACATTGGTTTTATCCTTCCCTCCTCCTTTTTCTCTCACTCCCCTGCCCCCCTACACACATGGTTTTCTGAATTCTTTGAAAGTAATTTGTAAATATGGTGTCCTTTTATCCCTTAATTTTTTTTAGTGTATATTTCCTTGACAGGGTGAAAAATAACTTATATAACCAGAGTCTAATTAGCAATCAGGAAATTATCATTGAAACAATACTATTATCTAATCTGTAGGCCTTATTCAAATTTCTACTGTTCTCACCCTTGAATTTTAAACCTCGTAGGTCATAGGTAGGAAACTAATTCCCACTGACCTGATTTGTCCCCCACAGCTTTTAAAACTTTTAATTGTCAATAATTAAAACTTAGATTTTACAGGGCCGGCCCGGTGGCGCACTGGATAGTGCGCCGCTTGGGAAGCGCGGCGGCGCTCCCGCCCGAGGGTTCGGATCACACGCACCCAAAAAAAGCTAGTAGGGAAACTTGCCAGAATTTGAACCCAGATCTGCCAAAACTCCAAAGTCAGACCATAATTGTGTCTCCCAGTGTGTAAATATCTATCAAATACTTTGTGCACATGTGTGAACATGCCAAACTTTGAATGATTTAAGTATAACCTGTATTTTAATACTTAGGACAGCATCATAAAATTAATTTCTAAATGAATATTGAAATTTATCCAGTTTCTATGTTTAGCAATTGGTGTTAATTTACCTCTCATAAGTGCTAGAAAGGTTCTACAATACCTCCTCCAGCCCTTTTATACTATTCAAGCTTTTTATTAGCCCTAATGTTGATTGCCTTCCCAGGGCATCTACTAGTTTGAGTATAATTTGTCTAATTAAATTTAAAGAAGAGATGTTTCATGAGAACTGTGACATCTGGCATATGGAGCCCACATTTCTCCATGTCTCTGACCTGCTGAAATTGTTCAATCATCACAGAACCCACTACTTCTTAGAGCATCCTTTTACAAGCCCAGGATGAGTTTGCACTGGTTTTCAGTTTTGCTCCCTCTGCCATACAGTGTAAAGTTTGCAGTGTGGGATTTGCTGTCAGCCCAAATTAAATCCTGGCTCTGCACTGGCTAGGTCTGTGGCCTTCAGCAAGTCACTTACCCTAATGCGTAAAGTTGGTGACGAGGATTGAATCAGGTAATACAGGTAAAGTCACCACCATGACTGTGTCTGCTCCTAGATTTGGTGTGGTGAGCAAGGGGTGCCCCTAGACCAGCTCACAGACTCCTCCTTCTGACTGCCAGGCTCCTATGAGAGCTGCAGCACCCTCTCTCGGCTTCTAGTCTCTTAATAGCCACTGCCTCCACCGCCACTTCTGCTGTCTGCCATTTCTCCTTTCACCCTGCTTTCCTTGTCCTTCTTTGCTCCTTGCTTCTACTTTATTTTGCCAATAAATTGTGGCATTTTTTCACTGCCATTGTTAGCTGAATTATTGCTTACTGTACACTCAAGAATTAATCTTTAAAAATTAGAAGTAGAAAAATACCCTATTACTGTAAGATTATTATTATTATTATTATTTTCCTTTTTGTCTTTTTTCGTGTCCGGCAACAGGATCGCAAACCTCGGTGCTGCGCCCACACCTCGCTCAGCCAGTGAGCGGGAACCGGTCTATATGTGGGATCCGAACCCTCGGCAGGAGCGCCACCATGCTCCCAAGCGGCGCACTGTAGCAGTGCGCCACCGGGCTGGCCCTGTAAGATTATTTTTAAATAGTACAGAAGAACATGGATAACAAGTACAGGTCCCTTTTTATACTAACCCCCTCCTCCCCAGCCCCAGCTCCATTATTTATTAATATGTTTAATATTACTTATATGTAGTTTTTGGTTTTTTTTTTAATAGAAATCTATTTTGGAGATTTCTTTCATGGGGCTTTTCCACTTTTAAAGGGTTTGAAAGAGTTCTTTTTTAAAAAGGGAAGTATGGCATACTAGTTCTGGTACAGAGCTATTCTAGAAATGAAAAGATTACCAAAAAATTATCCTCATTTACATTGGTTAATCAGAAAAATTGAGAAAGCTGTATACCTAACATTCAAACTTCCTCTAATACAAAAGGTTTTTAAACCCCCAATATCATGACCTAGTTTTTGTAAATGTTTAGATTTCTGGGGAGAAACTTCTTAGAAATCATCAGAGTATTCAAAAGGGCCATTAACCAAAAAAATTTAAAAATTCGTGCTTTCATTTATCTTCAGTAAGACAATACATTTTTAATTCTTTTTTTTTTTTTCCTTTTTGTCTTTTTTACTGACCGGTAATGGGATCGCAACCCTCAGTGTCGCACCCGTACCGGGGACCGGCAACGGGATCGCAACCCTCGGTGTTGCGCCCGCACCCCACTCAGCCAGTGAGCGGGAACCGGTCTCCACATGGGATCTGAACCCTCGGCGGGAGTGCCGCCGCGCTCCCAAGCAGCGCAGTCTCCAGTGCGCCACCAGGCCAGCCCAATACATTTTTAATTCTAATAACTAATTAATTCATCCCTTGAAATATACTTGTTAAAATGTCTAAGTTACAAGGGGACATTTCTGTTTTTTGTTTTCTTTTCTTTTGGGACATTTCTGTTTTATAATAATTTTTAAGCAATAAACATTGTCCTAACGCTTTATAAGTATTGCTATAAGCATTTTTACATACATGTTTTTATTTAAAAATGTATTTTAGGCCATTTTGGTCAAATAAATGCACTATTGCATTCATACAATTTTTACTAAAAGCTTCATATGGATAAACACAAAGATAGATAAGAACCATCATAATGATATGGCTTTAGATTTATGTAGTGCTTTACTTTTATTATTTTATTATTATTTTTTTTTTGAAGAAAATGTAATTTTATTAATGTTTTTTTCCTTTTTTACATTCTAGGACGTTGTTGCAGAGCAGTTGGGAGGGACAGGGAGAGGGGAAAGGGGAAGTAAATGTGATGGAAGGAGGAGGGGTGGGATTGATGCCTGTGGCACCCCCCTCATTCCCATAGGGGAGAACAGAAAACTTCTAGTAGTGGCTTGGTTACAGCTGCGCTGGGTGCAGATGTCAGGGGGATGTGTAGCAAAAGCCTTCACCCCCCCACCAACCCAGCTCGGGAACCAAGGGCTCTTCTTGCTGCAGCTTGGTGGTCATCACCTGGGCTGGCTGCCCATGTCAGAGAGGAGTGGCCAAGGCCTAAGGCCCCCCACTGCCCTGGTTTGGGAGAATCAAGAGTGCTTCCTGTGGCAGCTTGGTGGTAGCCACTGGGCTGGCTGTGGGTGTTGGGGTGTGGCCAAGGCCCAAGGACCCCACTGGCCGAGCTCACGAGAGCCTGGGGCACTTCTTTTGGTGTCTCAGTGGTAGCTGCTGGGCTGACTGCTGGGGTTGGGGGGTGTGGCTGAGGCCCAAGGCCCGTCACCACCCTGGCTCGGGAGAGCCCAGGTTGCTTCCTGCAATTGCTCAGTGGTCATTGCTGGGATTGTCGGGGGTGTGGCCAAGGCCCTTGTCCCCCACCCTCGGGACTGGTTGCCTGTGTTGGGGGCATTGCTGAGGACCCTGGCTGTACCCCCTTTCTGGCTTGGTAGCCCAGGGGATTTCTGGTCCTTTTAGGTGTTATAGGTGTTCTTTGGTGAAAAGAGACCTTTACTAGTTAATATCAAACTTTGTCTCTGGTTGTGGGTATTTTTTTTTTTCTTTCAGTTCTGTGTTGGATTATTTGCTGTTCCCACCACTTAAACACTGCGCTGGAACTAATTTGTTGACCTTTGCTTACTTCTAAAATGGGGGAACTTCCTGTGGGGACCAGTACCTGAGCTGTGTGGTTTAGCTAAATTGCTGCTTTGCTGCTGATTCCCTAGGGAAGGCTTTTTGTGCAGCTCAGGTTTTAATGGTTGACTTTACAGGGTTTTTTTTTTTTTTTTTAATTGAATCATAATTGGTATTTTGGGATTCAATGTTGACATGTGTTGATCAAACCAATATTATCAGTATGTATATGGTTACAAATTGTACCTATCCTTTATGCCCCTTGTCCAATCGTGTTGATTCTTTGGGGAAGGCTTTTTGTGCACCTCAGGTTTTAATGGTTGACTTCATAGGTACTTCCGGGTCTAGCAAAATCTGGTGCACCTGGGTTGTGTAGAAACTCTGGTCTGGGCCTGAGTATTTTCAGCAAACTGCATCCTCTGCAGTTCTGTATTCCTGACCAGTCTCTTCTGAGTGGTCCTGTGCTGTTTGGGGTGCAGATCTTCTGTTCTTGCTGTGCCCCAGTGTTCTCTTGGTGGGCCTGTCTCCCCCACCGCCCATGCTACAAACACTTCCTGTGGGATGGGCCATGCTCCAGTCCCTTGCGGTGACTCGCCGGCCATGAGTGGCTCCTTTTTTCAGTTGTTGTGGCCTCTCCCTCCTTTGGGGGTCCACAGGAACCCTTTTAGTGGTCTTGCTGGCCTGGGGTCTACCAAGGCTCTCTTCTCCCCTGCTGCCTCCAAGCAACTTCATCCAAAGGGCACAGCTGTGGCTTTTGCCAGCTCCTACTATGTGCGTTCACCAGCTCTAGCCTTGAAGCAGCCAGGGCTCGAAACAGTTGGAGCAGTTTTTCTTTATCTCATCATGGCTTCTCCTACCTTCATGTACTCCGTAGGTCTCTCCTCCTCTTCCCCTGAGCTCTAGCAGCCCCAGCTTGGCTGCCGTTGCTTTTTTATAGTTGTAAATTGGTTGATTTGTGGGAGAGACTGATGCTGGGGACCATCTATTCTGCCATCTTGACCAGAAGTCACACTTTACTTTTAAAAATCTTTTTACATTTGCCTCTTCTAAGAGTTTTGTGGACCAGGTTTGGTACATGTTATCTCCACTTTATTTAGAACAGGAAATGAAAGATCATAAGTTATGTATGATATTTTAAGTCCCAGTTAAAATGCTACTTTGATTAGCACTCCTTCTGGTAACCCAGGCCTGTCTTCCATTCACACTCCAGGTAAGGTTGCTTCAGGCTCGGGACTGTTAGGTCACAATAAGAGGAGCTCAGAGCTCCTGAAACCGAGTTCTCTGTTTTTTCCAAGTGTGCTTTAATGTTACAACAAAGTAAAGCTCAAATAGTAGTAGTGTCAGCTGCCATTTATTGTCTGACGCTGTGCTAGAGCTTTGGATTTATTATCTCTAATTCTTAACAACCTGTAAGGAAAGTGTCATCTCTATTTTCAGATCACAAAACCTCAGCTCAGGAAGACTAATCATTTTCCCAAAGTTCTGCTGTAAATAATGCTGGAGCTGAATTCTCGTATAGGTCTTGTTAGACTCCAATGTCCAGCTTCTCTTTGTGACACTTCTTCTAGTTAGTCACCCCACTCTGACTTTTCTGGTCCCTGGTTCCTTGGGTGACAGAAGATCCTTCCCTAAACTCACCCCTGCAGAGCTTCCCTGGGATCAACTTTCACAAAGCTTGTGAAATCTCCCCTCTCTCTGTCAAACACATCTTCTATGTAGATTTCATGAACACTCATGGGTATTGCTCACTGGTTTTTCCACGCAGTGAAGCTTAGCATTTTTATCTTGCTATTCAACAATATCAGGCCTGAGCCCAGTGAGGGTAAGCAAGGAAGCTTTTGTCTGAAAAGCTTTTATCCATGTATAGGTAATTTTAAATAATTTTCTCATTGTGTGTATAGTCACAATGTGTAGAATGTCATTTGCATAGGGACATAATGTAAATTTTTTGGACATAATTTTTTTATTTTTATTTTTTATTTTTTTCCTTTTTGTCTTTTTTCGTGTCTGGCAACGGATCGCAACCCTCAGTGTCGCGCCCATACCGGACCGGGACCGGCAACGGGATCGTAACCCTCGGTGTTGCGCCCGCACCTCGCTCAGCCAGTGAGCGGGAACCAGTCTGTATGTGGGATCCGAACCCTCTGCGGGAGCGCCACCGCGCTCTCAAGTGGCGCACTGTAGCAGTGCGCCACCGGGCCGGCCCCCTGGACATAATTTTTTTAAAAACAGCATAATAATTTAAAATATTTTCATCCGTGTGCTTTATTGTCCATCTTATGATGAATTTTTTATTTTATTAGGATACAATATCACAGAAATCTGTAGATATCCATGATTCTATTCAACCAAGATCTGCAGATAATAGACAGCAAGGACCGTTGGTCTCTGCCTCTACTGTGAATGAAGAAATCAACAAACTTAAATCTACAGCAAGTGAGTTATTTCTCTAAATAACAACAAATTGTGTATTTTATGTGGGAAAAGGATGACAGTTTTGGTTTTAGTTTTATTATTAACCAGCATGTTAATAATAAAAATAAAAATTAACAAGCATGTACTGTAATTGGTTGTGTAGTCACTTCTTCACTGTGTTTGTCCCAGCTTGGACATCCCCTGATAGGTGTTCTCTTGTGGAGGGTCAAGAACTCTACTAACACTGCAATATCAGCTTTTTCCACAATGCATTCAGCTAAAGTTTGTGTTGAGCACGAGTCTTCCCTCCCTGTTCCCTTCTGCATGCCACCCTCGTGTTCTCTCTGAAGAGGTGGAACCTAACGTGCCTCCCTCCGCCCATCACGAGGGCAGTGGTGAGGGCCACTGCTTACTAAGCAGCAGCTCCAGCTTTCCAAAGAGCAAGCCTTGCCACACTGCTTCCCTACTTGTGCTCATTTCCCTCCACTGCTGCCCACGCCACATCTCTACATAGGGATCCACAGCCACCTTTGTTCCTACCCTCCTCTGTTCACAGAAAAGGGGGAACCCCTCCACTTTTTTACTAAATTGGTTCAGTTTCATTTGCTGAAGGAAAATGTTAACACCTAGGAAAGATGACCGCCTCCTTAGAGTAGAGAACAAGGCAGCTTTAAGCACTTTTTAAAAATTGAGGGGAAATTGACATAGCAAAAGTAACCATTTTAGTGGACAATTCAGTGGCATTTAATACATTCACAGTATTGTGCAATCACCACTTCTTTCTAGTCCCAAAACGTCTTCATCACCCCGAAAAGGAAACCCAATAACCACCATGTAGCCTCTCCCTATTCTCCCCTTCCCCCGCCCCCGGCAACCACCAATCTGCTTTCCGTGTTTGTGGATTGGTTGTTCGGGGTATTTCATATAAGTGGAGTCATACAATATCTGACCTTTTGCGTCTGGCTTCTTTCACTTAGCACAGATAACCACCATGTAGCCTCTCCCTATTCTCCCCTTCCCCCGCCCCCGGCAACCACCAATCTGATTTCCGTGTTTGTGGATTGGTTGTTCGGGGTATTTCATATAAGTGGAGTCATACAATATCTGACCTTTTGCGTCTGGCTTCTTTCACTTAGCACAGCGTTTTCAAGATTCATCCTGTAGTAGCATGAAAAAGTAATTCATTCCTTTTTATTGCTGAGTATAGCCCACTATGTGCATATATATGCCATGTTTGGTTTATCCATTCATCTGCTTATGGACATTTGGGTTGGTTCCACCTTTGGTTATCAAATATAGTGCTGCTATGAACATTCGAGTACAAGTATTGTTTAAGTACCTGTTTTTAGTTCTTTAGCTGGGGGTGGAATTGCTGGTTCATATGGTAATTCTATGTTTAACTTTTTGAGGAACCATGAAACCGTTTTCTACAGCACCTGCACCATTTTACATTCTCAACAGCAATGCCGATTTTTCCGTATCTTTGCCAACACCTTTGTTTTTTAAATGATAGCCATCCTAGTGGGTACAAAGTGGTACCTCACTGTGGTTTTGACTTGTGCATTGCATTTCCATAATGATTAGTGATGTTAAGCATCTTTTCATGTGCTTATTGGCCATTTGTATATCTTCTTTGGTGAAATTTCTATTATTTGCCCATTTTTAATTTGGTTGTTTGTCTTTTTGTAGTTGAATTGTAAGAGTTTGTAACATACTCTGGATACTAGACACTTATCAGATACATTATTTGCAAGTATTTCTTTTTCTCCTATTCTGTAGGTCATCTTTTTCACTTTCTGGATAATGTCCTCTGATGCACGAAAGTATTTAATTTTGATGAAGTCCAGTTTATCTGTTTTTCTCTTTTGTTGTTGGTCATGCTTTTGGTGTCATAGCTAAGAATCCATTGCCAAATTCAAGGTTATGAAGATTTTTCCCAATGTTGTCATTCAAGAGTTTTATTCTTCTAGGTCATTGATCCATTTTAATTATTTTTAGGGAATTTTTTATTAATCCTAAGTGCTTACAGTTGTTCTTGCGAGAAGACAGACTTTGGTATCCTCCTTGAAAGGAGCTTCTAGCTTCAGTCACTGTATCTTACTAACTTGTGAAAGAGGAGACAGGTGGCAGTGAGTGGCCATTATCATTTTTTATTCCTATTATCTGAAATGGCTTGATATAGGAATCCATTCAGCTTCAGCCGAACTGGAAGGTATAACGAGGACAGAATAAGTGAGTGGCCTTTCTCTCTCTCTTGGCCCAAGACTAAACTTAAAATGTACCTAGCTTTGTAGGGGGAACAGTTGGTCATCATACATGAGGATGTTTTCTCTTGGCATAATCTGGGAATATGTCTTTTCCTGGAGCAGGGGTGCTGCTCCCCAGCCCCACTGTGAAGGCTCAGACTGCTGTCCTTATGCCAGACATCCCGCTCTTGCTCCCCGAAAATGTTTTAGGTAAGGTTCATCCTGGAACTGTTGGAGCTGGAGGAAGAACAAATGGCCACCATGTCCCCCTGAGCCCTTTCACTTGGTGATCAGGTTGCAGCTCCACTGTTTGATGAGGGAGGACAGCTGTCATCTGACTCTCTCCTACTCAGAGAATCACAGCACAGACCTGAGTACTTCGCCCTGTCTGAAGGGCAGCTGCCTCATTCTTTCTGCACACTTTCACAAAACACCACTGCTCCATCTAGTCTTCAGTCACTACCTGCAGTCCCATGTACTTAAAATCTGCTTAGCTTTGCTCCCTATCGTACAATGAAACTTCTTAGACATCCTCCTTCTGCTAAGTCCCTTCTGGAGCCCAGGTGCAAGTAGGAGCCTTTTGCCCCAGGGACTGAGATGTTTTTGTGCCTTTAATGAGGGGGTGAATGAATGACTGCTACATGTCAATGTGTCTGCAGTAAAGGACTGTGAAGGAGACACGTAAGAAGAACAAACAATTGTGGGACTTGTGGGTTTCTTTGTTTTATTTTGTTTTTTAACTTGAGATCCAGTATCGAGAACCAAATGTTAAATAGAACAGTATTTCTGAGAAATATCTGGAAAGGAACCTTTATTAATGACCTCAATAAGAATTAACTAAGCAAGTAATTTTTCTACCCCCCTAAATCCCTAAAATATGAATTTAACTTCTACAGATTAGCATCAGAAAAGGGAATTTATAGTAAAATACTTTTTATAGTAGAAAGAAACAGGGATTATAAGTCATCCAGTGGTGGAGCCATTACCCCAAGGCTGATTAATAGGCAGCTTCCCTTAGGCAGTCAGTCTGCCTCCTGGAAAGCTCCCTGGAAATGCTGCCCCTGAGAGCCCAGGATCGAGGTCTGTCCTTGCGTTTGGGCCATCCGGGCCATCTGGGGCCACATGTCGCTGCTCTCGCAGCATCTCAGTAGATGAGTCGTCTTTCCTAACCTTGTGCTTCTACATTTGCTTAACTGTTTAACCACAGAGGTCAGTGAAATGTCTCCTGGATTGTCAGAAGAACCCTGTGGGGCTCGTTTGTTCAGGATAGCGGAAGGCCGCTATGTACATACCACCAAGAGAGGAATTTGCACTGTGGGGAGCACTTTTGTTACTTTGCCGTTTGGTTACTTTTGTAGTAATGTGCTTAGCATAACTTTTCGTAGACTTCTGCGCCAATGGAAATAAGCATATTTGAAAATAAGTAATTTTAGCTACAGCTACGAATCTGGATCCAAATAAAATGTGTGCTGTGTTTAAACTACAGCACTGCATAGGTTGACGAGAGTTCTTGGCTATCCCTCACTTCCCGGCTCACATAGATCTGGCTCCTTTTTTTTTTAACAACATAGGTTCTTATATTACTTCTTTTCAAACGTCGGTCTTGGATTTATGGTAAATCTATTTAAGTTTTAGATTTTTATCTATTTGTTATATTTTATTCAAGAATAACCTGAATCTTATTTAAAAATTTGTTCAAGTGGAACCATCTTGAACATATTCACTGTTCTAAGTCATGTAAGATATTTTTATTTAGAATATTAGTTTTCTAAGGTGTTTCTAAGTATTGATTAAACTTGACTGAGTAGTGCCTGTGTGCAGAACTTCTCAGTGTGAGAAGGTTACTTTTCATACATGTGAATGTTTCTTAGCATTGTAATGTCATAGAAATTATAAGGATTCAAAATAATTTTTTGTTTGCATGTGCATTGGGGGGGATTTCGTTTCCTCACAGAATTTCCAGAACAAAAATTGTTTGCTGCCCTGTTGATTAAATGTGTTGTGCAGCTGGAGCTTATCCAGACTATCGACAACATTGTGTTCTTCCCAGCCACAAGTAAAAAGGAAGATGCGGAAAACTTAGCTGCAGCCCAGGTAAGGAGGTGTGAGGGCAGCTGCTGTTTTTGTGTAAGTAGGAAGTTAGCTGTAACAGTCTGGGCTTCAGATCAGATCTCAGGCTAGAGATTTAATTTGGGGGCCTTCACCACATTGTCATCTTCAACCATGAGACTGAGCGACATCATGAGGTAGTGAGTGTGGCTAGAGCAGAGAGGAGGGTCAGGGACTGGTCCTGGGGCCTTTTCCTCTCCCACTCCTGGTGACAGCCAAGGGTGGAGGCTGAGATTGAGAAGGGGGGGGCAGGCAGAGCAAGAGTCAAGTGTTGCTGGAGGTCAAAGGAAAATGTTTTAAGAGGAAGGATGTGATCAGTGCTTGTTAAATGTTCTGGATAGGTCAAGTAATGTTACATCTGAGAATGTTGCCCTCTAGCTATTTGGAGGACCTTGGTGACCTTGATAATGTGTTCAATTTTAACATTGAGGACAGAAGCATAATCATAATGGGCACGAGAGAAGAGAGGAATTGGATAGCAGATATGGATACTTCTGTCGAGCAGTTTTGCTGTGAAGGGCACAGAGAACTGGGGTGGTAGCTGTAGGAGCCTGAAGGTGTCAAGAGAGGAGCTTGCTCTGGTTTGTTCTCCGGATTGGCAATATGGCAGCATGTTTGCTGATGAGAGCTTGCCAGTAGTGAGAGAAAAACAGAGTGCAGGAGAGAACTGGGCAGTTGCTAGAGCAATATTTCTGAGTGACTGGGGATGGTACCTAGTGTGAAGTGGGGATTGTCTGGGATTGAAGCTGAGATAGTTCATGCATGGTGGCAGTGTAGGGCAGAGGGTGTGCATGCAGATGCAGGAAGATTGGTGCATTTGGGGGTGGTGTGGCAGATCTCCTCTAACAGCTTCCAGTTTCTTATTGAGAAGGGAAGAAAAATCATCTACCACATAAGATTGGGAAGAACATTTTAGATACTCGAGGAGGGAAGTGAAAACAGGAGCTGGTGGTGCAGGAACATGGACCAGGGAATGTCAGATGAACGCTGGGAGCACCCCAAGCCACTGGGTCTAAAGAGAAACGAGTCCTTTTGCTCTAGCCACATTGGTGGTATGGCTGCAGATGTGGGGTTGGCAAAGTTTTGCCAACCAGTTACTAAAAAGAGGAGGCTCAGGGTTAGGAAAGACAGTGATTAAGGCCATGGTCCATGAACCCCAAACTGAATGAAAAGAGAAGGGAGGAGCTGAGGGATTGCAGAGCAGTGGAGATGGGAAGGACTGCAGGGTCTGGGAGGGCGCAGAACCATAGGGTCAGGTGCCAGAAGGGACGGGTGATGGGAGGTGGTGCTCAGTGATGAGGATGCGTAAGAGAGGGTGGGCTTCTCCCTGTTTTCTGTGAAGATAGAGCAGATTTTCTGTGGCTTACCGGTCTTTGGGGAGTTTTGAGTTCTGAATTTACTAAAATTGTTGTGACTATATGTGTGTATGCTGTGGTGGTTTGTTTTCCAAAGAGAGATGCAGTGGACTTTGATGTTCGAGTTGATACTCAAGACCAAGGAATGTACCGCTTTTTAACGTCACAACAACTTTTTAAGCTACTGGATTGTTTATTAGAGTCACATAGATTTGCAAAAGCATTCAATTCCAACAACGAACAAAGGACTGCTCTATGGAAAGCAGGTAAGGTGTGCAGGTCTCACATTTTACTGTTCACTGTTAGTGGATGTAGGACTGGTATTTACATTTATCAGAATTCATTGGTTGTATGCTTTCAGGTCTGTGCATGTTGCTGTATATACTTTGAATTAAACAATAATAATAAGGTAGTGTAACAACGACATCTTTTCCTGCTCATCTATAAGCCAAATACCTACCTGGATGGATTTGTTTCCCCCATGTTTAATCCACTTGTTCTTTGACTGACTGTTCTTTCATCTTGTTTACCAAGCCTGGGCATTCCTGTTGATACTTATTAGCACAATAAAAGCTGTCCTTTTATGGGGGACTAACATATGTGTTAAGGTCCCACACATGAAATCTGGCAGATGTATTTGAATGACTTCTCTGTGTTTCTGGGAGTGGCCACACCTTAGAACGGAAGTGAATATATTGGGGCAGAAGACGTATTTGGTTAGGACCATTTAGAAAATTTAAATAAAAAATAACTATAAATTAACTGACACTAACTTTTTATTTAAGAAATAGTTATTCAGTGCCTGTTGGGTGCAAAACAGTGCTGGAAGAGTGAGGGCAGCAGAATATGGCAGAAAGAAGGGAACTGATATTTATCTAACATCAAACTAGAGTGTTAGGTGCTTTATGTTGGCCTATTTTACTTAAAAAGGCTTTCTTCATCCTCTTCCCTTTACAACCTAACTTCTGGAAAGAGTAGTCTGTACTTACTTTTTCTCCTTTCTTCAACCCGTGTTGTTGCCACATTCAACTGACACTTCCTGTTGAGGTGACCAGAGGTTCCTATTTCCACACACACTGGACCCTTCACACCTCTGGCATTTAAAAGAGTCTCACCCAATGCGTGTTTGCTCCCTGTTCATTCGGGAGCCCTGCACGGGCACAGCAGGCTGCCCTTTGTACAGCTTTTGGCTGTAGGGCTTCAAGTGCAACTTCTTTTGAAGGGTTTCACTTTCCCAGGCCTCAGAAGTTGTTTTATATCTTTTACCCCCTGCTTGAAATAGGAGGGAATTGTAAACATAGAAATCATCTTCACATTGGGCCTCCCCTTGCTCTGGCTTGGGCATGCTATCTTCTGCATGACCACTGTCCCATGGACAGAGGCCCAGGGTGCACGCTGCTGTGGCTCAGGGCATCTCCGGTTTACAAAATGGGCCTCCATACAGGTTGTTTTGCCTTTATATAAGATGCCTTCCCATACAAATGCTTGGAAGCTTTCCTTTTTTTGCAGGTTTCAAAGGCAAGTCCAAGCCCAACCTTCTGAAGCAGGAGACAAGCAGCCTGGCCTGTGGGCTGCGCATTCTCTTCCGGATGTACATGGACGAGAGCCGGATTAGTGCCTGGGAGGAGGTCCAGCAGAGGCTTTTAAAGTAAGACTCTCAGCTGCTTTCTGCCGTGACTGTGTGGCTGCATGATGCAGAGCAAGAAAGGGGCATGGGCAGGACCAGACAAATATCTGAGCCTTTGGGGCCTGGAGGCCACTATTTCACAGAGCCATTGTGGTTAAATACAGTGTTAGAGGCGAATGTGCTTTGTACAGCTGGTGACATGTGAACAGATCATGTCTAACATACAGGACAAATAAGAAAGTTTTCTCTTAAAATTTAAAAACTTTAAACTATGATACGGCTTTTTTGGCCTTTCTAATGCCATAAGATAGCCCATTATTACAGAACAATCATTTGTGAAAGTGAAAATCTGCCTGTGTGCATTTAGTTTGAAAACGTGTTTGGAATTTTTGTTGGTGTTACTTTTTTTCATTCTGTTTTACTTCATTACAACTAAAATTTAAACTCACGCTAAGAAGGAAACATGCCAGGAAGAATATGGTCATCTGCATTGTATTTTTGTGTCTACTTGGGGAATAGATGTTCTCAGAGACCAGTTGAATACATTTTAGAATTTTAAGAGATCATCTAGTCTCCATTCTTCCATTTTATTGACAAGAGTATTAAGGCCCAGAATGGTGTAAGGCCTCACAATCAGTGAAGGGATGAGCCACCCCAGATTTTAGCCCACGTCTCTTGACATCGTGTATGTGCATGCATTAGTGTACGGCAGCTTTGAATTAAGAAAATGTGGATTTCCTGATAAGTTGCAATGGCTGCTTTTAATATGTTTGGATTTCTTCCTAATTTGAAAAACATAAATGTTTATGTTGGCACTCCAGTTAATGTAAATAGATGAGATCTAGCAAGTTCTTAATAGTTAATACTCACTATCTCCTTGTCTTAATTGTTCTCAGTGAGTATATGGAGCAGCAGTATGCCAGGAATGTGTCGAAGTAAACCTTTTCTTTTGCAGCGTCTGCAGTGAAGCACTAAGTTACTTCCTCACTCTAACATCAGAAAGTCATCGGGAAGCCTGGACTAATTTACTGCTTTTGTTTCTAACTAAAGTTCTAAAGATAAGCGATAACAGGGTAAGTATGAGGCTTCTTATCCAGCCTGGCATTTCTAGCCTGAGCAGCATGGGACTGAGTCTGAGGCAGGGATGCCAGGCGCAGGCCCACTGTCCAGGAGCTCTAAGGCAGACCAAGCAGAGCCCAGGATGTGCTGCGGCTGTGCACGACCACATGTGGCCTAAGCACATCTTCTCAGTCGTTCTCCCTTTTCTCTCCTTACCCAGCTTGTGTTCTCTAATCAGCAATTCTACAGGGAATTAAGTAGTGGAGGAATCAGAACCCCTTAGGACACCTTGACAAGGTCCTGGGTTCTCCCAACATTGAAATTCCCATCCTGAGCTCTGTAGCTTCCTCTTTTTCCCCACTTTGAAAACTATTCTGCAGCCCACCCCATGGCCTTGCACACCACCCCTACCTGAGGCTACATCTGGTCCCTGGGCCTGTGCATCAGGCTGCAGCCATTCCTGTGGCATATTTAGTAATTCCATGTGACCCAGAGCCCCTAGTGAACAGGCCATGAACTCATTTAAGAATTTAAACCAGTAGAAATAAAGGTAAAATGCAAATATATAAGTATAAATGCATATTTTGAGGTTTTCAAAAATGAACATTTTACTCATAAAATACAGCAACTTATAGTTCACACGTAAGAAAACAAGTTACTTTGCTGTAACCCCTGAATAGATTTGAAAATGCCTATTCAGGTGGCCCGATACTTGAGATTTTAGGCCCTGGTGGCATGTGGGACCCCATGGAGGCAGGGCGAGTCCACTCAGCGCTGTGTAGGTGTTCAGCCCAGGTCACGTGCTCTGCATCCAGGTGCATTTCCCTCTGATCAATGGGCCGGGTAAAGCTTGGAAAATTCATGAGCTAAGGCCACCAAAAGCCAAGTGGCCAGGAAGGATGCCCCACCCCAGTCTGTCTTACTCTACAGCTTGCTTTCTCATCTCAGTGTGTCATACTGTTTCCCTGTATCTGGGGGGTGATGTGCAGAGATCAAGGAATAACAGCAAAGACAGTCAAAGGATGGAAATTGAACTATAAGTATGGAATATGTATAGCTTTGCCTGACAATGTTTATATATCTTATATTGCAGCTTTAGGTAGATTTCCTTAACATTTAAAAATTTTACTTAACAAAGCATACAATTCTAATAACCCATATTTTATAAAAACTCTTGTTCTTGCTCAGCTTCTTTCTTTTTCTTATTATCCAGGAAAAACAAGGCTAAATTACTAAAAGTTTGTCAAAGATAGTAATAGAGAATGTTCTTCAAAATAAGGATAGATAATTGAATAGGGTTTGTATTGAGTCTTTTGAATACGTCTCAGTCTCTCAGCTTCATAATCCCTATAATCACCGCTTGACACACACTCTGCCCTCCCTCTACCTTCTGTGATCAGTGCATGCCCCAAGTGGTTTGACTGGGAAGGCAGTTTTAGCTGTGCAGTTTGCAATGCAAGCATTACTAACGGAGAAATTCATTCTCCCCCCAGTTTAAAGCTCATGCATCATTCTACTACCCTCTCTTATGTGAAATTATGCAATTTGACTTGATTCCTGAACTTCGTGCTGTTCTTAGAAGATTTTTTCTGCGAATTGGAGTTGTTTTTCAGATATCACAACCACCTGAACAGGAACTTGGAATAAACAAGCAATGATGGAAACTTAATATTTTTCTGTTGGCGTTTACATCCCTCCGCTCTTTAAAAGGACCCTGGAGCTGAGGTTTCCTACCTGAAAAATGGTTTCTCATTTCTATGAATTGCAGTGTCTGAGGGTTACTGGTAAAGATGCTTAGAACTATAACTCAAACTTGAACACTCCAGTCCCTTTTTTGTAGTCTGGTGAATTCTGTGTGACCTGTTGGGCTCATGTTGAGCAGAAAGGCTGTTTAAGCAGTGTCAGCTTATACACACGGGTCCTTCCCTGTCCTCTGCAACAGGGTGAGCCCCACATATTTTTGGCAGGTGTGGAAGTGAAACTTACCCAAAGAACTATAGATGTAAAGATTGAACTTCTGCAAGAAGTACAACTCAGGAGAGCTGTATTTTGAAGGATAAAATGTTTATAATTGGGGGGTGGGGGAAGAAAAAAAATATTGTTCATGGTAAAAGATATTTAGGAACTATGGTATTCTTACTCTGAAGATTTTTGCACACTCAGGCTATCTGAGATACTGGTAATTATCCTTCTGTGAAAAATGTACAGAAATGCAGGTCTGTAATAAAAATCTTAAACATTATATAGTTCTTCCTGCACTGTTTTCTTTATTTTCTTATTCATCTGCTAAATACCCATAATATTTTGTCAAAGGCACTAAACACTTGGATTGAACTTTTTTTTATTTTGCGGGTAGTTTTGCCCTTTTGGGGGGGGGGGTTGGTAATTTTGAGGGTTTAACATGCCCAGAAGCCATTGTGGCTAAGCACTTGTCAAGATCAACAACAGGAAAAAAAAAAAAGTAGAAAATACCCCTACTGACAGTCACTACCTGTAATATACTTCTCTTAGGGCTTTTAAAAATGAGCCATTAAAATAGAATGGTCCTTCATGGACCAAAACTTGAATCACTGCAAAATGAATCTAGGTTGCTGTCACTTTCTTTTCTTTTCTTTTTTGGTGGCGGGGCTTGATGTAGATTTTACTCTATGTACAGAATTTAATGTTGAATATATTAAAATAAAACTGGCATGGGTTTGCAGAGGTTAGATTTACTGGAAATGTATTCATACTGTGAATTGTGCTCTGATGGTTAAAAGACAAAATTGTCAAGCATTCCGTATTAACAGTGGATGTAGAAAATTTTTTCAGATGGATAAAATGTATATGGTACAGATGTAAAGTTTTCTATGTAAAAAAATTCTGTACAACTTTCTGTATAATATTGATTCTCATCTGGCATAGTCTAATCAGGTTATAGGTCAATAAAGTTTTTGAATTATTTCGTCAGTGCAATCAAAACCTGTGTAACCCACAGCCCTATGTTTCATTCTTTTTTTTATTTTTTTCATTTAAAAGCCAAACAGACAACTATGGAAAGGATATCTTCAGCCAGAACTACAAATTCTATATTCTTTGGTTCTGACATCTTCTTTCCAGCTTCTGGCATTAGATTCTCCCCCTACACTCTGCTTTCTTAACCATATTAATAACTTAAAATAAATATTTTGTGTATTTATTAATAATCCAGCATAAGGCTATACTATTTGAATTCTGAGAAAAAGAGCTAAAATTCCATTCGGGGCAGTTTGCAGTGATATTGTGCATCCTAGGAGTCAGTTCAAATTGTATGGTACATAGCATTAAAAAAGAAAATGGAACGTCAACATAATTTAAGAGAGCTGCGTTAAAAAACAGAAGTATGCCATCTTTGCTTTCACATATCTCTTAGATAATGAACAGTTATTGAACAATGGATTTGTAAGTGTACCATATTTATTACTTCTGAGACACAACTCTGTTCAAGCCCAGCTGGATGCTAAAGCTAGGCGTCACCCACCTCAGGGGACCTTCTAGTTTGCTTTACACAACCTGTAGCATCAGGACTCTCCCTAGGGGAGACACAGGCTTTCTTCTTACTTTCAGATAATAAGGAGAGAAGAAAAATCTCTAATAGTAAAACAAACAATGGTTAAAATTAGAAAATTGAGTATAAAATTAACACGTAGCCAAAGCTCAAAATAACAGAAATTTCACAATTGCAACGAACTTGTATGATCTTGTCTGCCATTAATTATGTCAACGGACATGTCACAGAAGTAGTGCCTGGGGAGTGTTCTCAGCTGTCATGTTGCTGAAGACTAATCCAAGTTAAGAATTATTTTACGGAATTTGAATGAATCTTTCCTGTTTTAGCAGCATCAACTTACTGAGTGATGAGAAAAACTGACTCACTTATCCAACGGTCCATGGTGGCAGAGCAAAGATTCCTGTCTCTGTCCCTGACTCCAGGTGTTCCTACCTCTCTTCAGCCTCTAGAAACCTCAATTCCAATTAAAATAAGAAATCGACATATTGGTAATAAAAATAAAAATTTATTTCTATCAAGAAGTAGTTAAATCATATAAATTAGTAACTTAAGACAATGCTTTCATTGGCACAAAAATAAAAAGAGGCAGAAAGTTGTAACATTTAGTGCATGGCTCACAGGAGTAAAATCAGTTTCGGCTCCCATCATTTCTACTGAGTCAGTAGCTACAAATGACATGAAAATAGCACATTTGATTCTCTTCTTTACATAGCAACTGGAATAGTCACAGCTACAACAGATGCATTTATGAAATGAATTATTTTGAATACAGATAACAGCGGCAAATATGCACATAACAAAGGGTATTCTGATTTTACAGTACTCTTAAGACATTTACGTTTTATTCACCTTCAGTAGAATTTAAAATAATGCACATATGGTAGTTGAATCCAAGAGTTTATTATCACCCTAATTTGTGGCAAAATTGTGCAAAAATAATTCTATACAATTCTAATATATAAAATCAATAATCATGGACTTTTATGTACATAATATACATCATGGAAAAAATAGTTTATATACAGATGGAACAATAAGTAATTTCCAGATAGAAGCCAAAAGTAGTACATGTTATTAAAGGTACAGATTTAACATTCTGCTTACCTTTAAAAGCACTACCAGGTCCGATACAGATTTATTTTAACCATGTGCTGTAGACAGGCCCTGCCAAGGGAAAGTGCCTGGTTTTCCGGGGACCTGCTGCTGCTCCTGGTGCAGCTGCTCTGCCATGAAGTGCTTCAGTGTTTCTGAGGTGCCGGGGCGTAGCCAGGGCTCAGTTGCTACAGAGTTTGATCCATCATCATCACCCACAGGTTTCATGATGTCATCAGGATCGACCAGGGAACTCTCGTCATCTACAGAAGGCAAGAGACACATGACTCAGGTGACAAAAGTCTCCTGTAGTCCATCCCATTACAGCTCAGCCTTTCCTCACAGGATTGGATTAGGTTCTGAACTGAATGTTTTGTTCAGACCCCCATTTTAGAGGCGGGAGAGCAGGCCCAGGAAGGGTCCAATTTTCTGAAACAAAAAATGGTCAAACAAAAAATGGAGTAAGTTGACTCCACAGCACCAGCACCCACAGGAATTCTAAGTATATAAGAGGGATCCTACATATAATTGAGGACACTCCACCAAAGACTAAGGTTGACTGGAGGAGTATTGGTAATCTTATTTTATAACTCACCTTCAGGAGAAATCTAATGGATATCATATAGAACTTATTTTTTTTTTTAATTCAGCAAGGTTTGGGGAATATTCCCAACCTCTAACACTGCTATAAGGAAATTAAGTCATTTTGGAAAAGCACTAGTTGGGATGAAACTACCTCCATTCTTAACACCTAATCTAAGTAGGCCATATCTAGTCCATTAAGAGGTAGCTCTTAATTTGTTTTATTCTTTAATTGAATTTGTACTCAACTTCTATATCTATATTTTACTTATTATTAATTAGATATAAAAATAGGAAAATCTGTCTTCCTACCCTGCGATGTCAGTTTTTTGTTTTCTTTTTTTAATTACATCTCCTGGTCTGTGAAGGATAAACCCAGCAAAGGGATGTGTGCAGATTAATATGCAATCAATCCACATCACACCAAAAAGCTCCTGTTTGAAAGGACAGTTTTAAAAAACAGTTTAGACATGGAAACCTTCTGGAAGACTAGATTCTTAATATGCTCTATCTTCTCTCAAATATTTCTGTGATAAATATTAATTCAGTTTATTGGTTCTAAAAGAAATTGAGAAGAAAATGCCTTTTAGCTAGAAAGATGACATCCTATCCCACTGTTCCACATTTTCGTGGGTGTGGTGTGAGAAGTACTGTTCCACCAATTGACAATGTCTGCTGGTGTCTGGTATGGAATTATCACCATCAGAACACATCGCACCTTAACTGCTAGAGATTATATGAGTGTTAAGGTAGGATCTAAAAATATCTTAAGACAATTGCTATTAGAAAATTATTGTAATGTAGCTTACCAGACTAAAGGGTATTGTCCAAATAGACTACTTTACTATTTGCCAGAACTAATAATAATACCAATATAAAATTCTCCCATTAGCCCAGTGACTAAAAGAATCAGTATGAAAAAGGGTGGAATAGGCATAGGAGCTCATTAGCTGTCAGAGGAACACTGCCTCATGCTCCCTGTCAAGCTTGAACCTGTGAGTCATGAAAGACCACTCATAATGACTAGCTTCAATTGACTTACAAAAAGAAAATACCAGCCTGTGGCTATTTTGTTTGTCCATGGTGCAGAAAGCCAAGTAAAAAAGTAAAAAGTTTCTTCATAGTACTTACACATTTAAAATAGATACATTATTTAAAGAACTCAAAGTCTTAATTTCTGATAATCTCTCACTTCAGTAAGTGATTACTATACCATACTAGTCAGCATTTTTCCCTGCTGAAAGCAAAGCGTGGTTATATTTCATACGCAAAAACTATTTTATCTACTTAGAATCTGGAAGAAAGAATTGGATGCAAAATTAATCCTGAGGTCTGGTTTTGCTGGATAGTTACTGTGCCCTGGGCCATTTGACTCAAAAGGACTTTAAAACTCCCATCCCATCTATCTCCCAACCATCAGAGAAAATTTCCATGTAAACAAATTTAAGAGTTCCTATAGGATTTGCTGTAACAGGTCATTAAACTTGGCCATTTACCTGTATTAATAGGTTTATTCTGAAGTTCATTCAGTCTTCGCATTCTTTCCTCATTTCTCATTCTAAGCTGATCAACATTTACACTGGACACAGATTTTAAAGAGAGACCATCCAATGGTACGTTAGGATGGTTGTTATCCTGTAGATAGAGAACAGAACTTCAGCAACAGTCTTTAACATAAAATATATTCAGGATGAATCAGAGAATCAAAATATATTATCTTTGGGGCCAGCCCCATGGCTCACTCAGGAAAGTGCGGTGCTGGTAGCACCGAGACTGTGGGTTCGGATCCTATATAGGGATGGCTGGTGCACTCACTGGCTGAGCGTGGTGCTGACAACACCAAGCCAAGAGTTGCGATCCCCTTACCAGTCAAAAAAAATAATAATAAAAATTAAAATTAAAAAAATATATATATTACCCTTGATAAATGTATATTGTGATGAACAAAATAACTGGAAATATGGAGCATTTATATTCTGACTCCTGTGTTTATTCATGCAGGCTCACATGACCCAGTCAAGGAAAAGGTATAGCATATGTGATGATGTATAAATGCTGCCAGACTGGATAAAGCTTGACAGTTACAGAACACAAAAGGAAAAACTAAAACAGCAAGGGCTAAGACTCAGTCCAGCTATAGTAATCAAGACAGTGTGGTACTGACATAAGGATATAAATCAATGGAAGAGAAATAAGAATCCTGAAATAAATCCTTACATTTTTAGATGAGGAGCCAACAAAATGCAACAGGGAAAAGAATAGTCTCTTCAACAAATGGTACCAAAAAACTGGATGTCCACATGCCAAAGAATGAACTTGGAACCCTACACCTCACCATAAGCAAAAATTAAAGTGTATATCATAGACTAACTTTAAGAGCAAAACTATAAGAGAAAATAGAAGTAAATCTTCATGATCTTGGTTTAGGTAATGGTTTCTTAGATAAGACACCAAAAGCCCAAGTGATAAGATTGGTAAGTTGGACCACATTAAAATTTAAAAACTTCTGTGCTTCAACGGATACCATCAAGAAGGTAAAAAAGACACAGAATGGGAGAAAATATTTGCAAATCAAATATCTGATACTGGACTTGCAGCCAGAATGTATAAAGAACCCTTACAACATCACAATAAAAAGACAGCCTGATTTAAAAATGGGCAAAGGATTTGAATAGACATATATCTGAAGGAAATGTACACCTGCTAACAAGCACATGAAAAGGTGTTCAACGTTAAGGAAATACAATTGAAAACCACAATGAAACCCCTTCACCCCCACTAGATGGCTATAATCAACAAGACGGACAATAATTAGTGTAAACTAGGATGTAGAGAAACTGGAAGCTGCTGATAGGAATGTAAAATGGTATAGCCGCTTTGGAAGACAGTCTGGCAGTTCCTCAAAATGCTAAATATACAATTACATATAACCCAACAGTTTTACTCCCAAATATATACGAGAGTACTTCAAACAGTTCATGGAAAAATGGAATAAAAAGATAATATGAATTCTTCCATGAACTTTTTGAAGATCTTTCATATTCAAGAGGAATGAAAACATCAAAAACCTGCACGTGAATATTAATAGCATTATTCATAATACCCCAAAAGTAAAAACAACCCAAATGTCCACCAACCACTGAATGAACAACATGTGCACCACCCACACAGTGGATTCTGATTCAGCAACACAGAGGGATCAGTGCTGCCACCAGATGCCACATGGTGACCTTTGAATAAAGACAGACAACAAAGCAATCAGTCACAAATGACCATGCATTGTATGGTCTCATTTGCATGATGTGTCCAGAAAAGGCAAACCTATAGAGACCAAAGTAGATTAGTGGTTGCCTAGGGTAACAAGTAAACAAAGTTATCGCTGCCTGGTAAAGCTGTACATATAACACTGCTAATAACAAAAGTATCTGTTATTTGTTCAGAGCTCCCTGCATATTTGGCTCAATGCTAAATGTTCACACATATATTACCTAACTATATCTTCATGTCATATATAAGGAAACACAGAGTTTAAGAAATTGTCCAAAGTTGCTTACTCAATGAGGACCTGACATTGGTGGTACATGTACTGAGGGCTCTAAGCCTATGCTTTTTACTGGCTATATTGTAAAGCTGTGGAGCAGAGTGGAGAGAACATAGGTTTGAATCTCGGCCTTCTTGTCTATGTGACTTTGGGCAAGTCTTTTGACCAAAACAAAGATGACACCTATATCAGAGAGTTGGGTTATGAGGATGTTATGAGTTGTAACAGGCTTTCCAGTAAACGGTATCAGTTGCTTCTTGTGCCCTTCTCTGAAATCCTTACATTCAGAGGAAGAAGGAAGACTGGGGTGATGAATTAACATTTATAGGACAGAGATTTTTGTGTGAGGTACACAGCTTCTATTTATAGCCACCACAGGGGATAAGAAAATATTACCTCAAAGAAGTCAAGGCAGCAGTTCAATAAGCTACTCAAAGTCATCCACTAATTGGTGGTAGAGCCTAGATTCAGACCCATGTCCACCTTATTTCAAAGCAAGTGCTCTTTCTTTATTGGACCACACAAATTTAGCATGGGTCAGAACCCAGACCTTTCACTCTTCTGAACAGAAAAAGGGGGAAAAGAAAAAGACATTTCATACAAAGTCCAGTCCTTTCGATTTGTTCCTCCTGCGCTCCCTCGCGGAGGGCAGCTGTGATGGTGGAGGGAGGACGTCATCTTCGATGTCTGGATATGTCTCACCATAAGCACCTAAAAGGGGCACACAAAGGAGGAGTCTATTTCAAATCTTCTACTCAGAGCTAAACCTGAGTTTTAAAAAGAGCCTGTTTTTGAATCACTTTATTAAGATGTTATTTACATACCGTAAAATCCACTCACCTTAAGTGTACACAGTTCAATGATTTCTAGTAAATTTACGGAAGTATGTAGTCATCATTATAATCTAGAACATTTCCATCACTTTACAGCTCCCTTGTGCCCATGGGCAATCACTCCCCACTCCCACCTGCTCAGCCCCAGCAAACACTGATCTGCTCTCTGTCTCAACAGATTTACCTTACCTAACATTCTACATAAATAAAATTCTACAATGTAATCTTTTGTCTTTCACTTAGCATAATGTGTTTGAGGCTCACCTATGTAGTACCATGTTCCAGTAGTTCATTCTGTTTTATTGCTCAGTAGAACTCCATCATATGGCTATGTCACATTTTGCCTATGCATTTACCAGTTGATGGACATATTTGCTAGTTGTTAGTGATTATGAATAACGCTACAATGAACATTCATATACAAGTCTTTGGATTTTCATTGGGGGGATATATAGTAGGAATGAAACTGCTAGGTATTATGGTAACTCTGTTCAGCATTTTTAGTAACTACCAAATTGTTTTCAAACGTGGCTATACAATTTTACATTGTAAGAACGTTCCAGTTTCCCCACATCATCACCAACACTTGGTACTGTCAGTCTTTTTGATTATACCCATTCTACTCAGCCAATAGCCTATTTGACCACGGAGATGAATAGCCTATAACATTTAAAAATTTTTCCCCAACTCCTGCATTTGAAAAAATTTAAACCTCAAGAAAAATTGTAATAATACAATGAACACAATGAATGAATTTGTTATTTTGCCAATTTCTATATATATTTTGGGGAATGTTGTTGCTTATTTTTACTGAGCCACTTTGCTAAACCAGGAAGTTGGAGACATCATGACACTTTGTCCCAAAATACTTAAGCATGCATCTTCTAAGAACAAGGACTGACTCCTACGTAGCTACAGTATAATAATCACATTCAGGAAATTTAACACTGATACAATACTATCATTTAACATATAATTGACAAAATAATTTAATATATAATTGACAAATAATTCAAAACTTCCAAATTTATCCTGTATAGCTGTTTTTTTGAATAACTACATTTTATTGAATGAGATATGGGGCTTTCTAGAATTCCAAAATAAGTTTTCTGATTTCTTTATATACCTCACCACTAATTCTTTTTTTTAGTAGCTTGTATTTGTCTAGAGCAGTTTTAAGTTCACAGCAAATTTAAGTGCAAAGTGCACAGTGTTCCTATATACCCTCCCACCACCGCCCCACACAGAGGCACAGCTGCCCGCACTACCAACATCCCACACCAGAGTGGTTCATTGTAGCAATCAATGAACCTACATTGAAATCATCATTATCACCTAAAGTCCATAGTTTACATTGGGTTCACTCTTGGTGTTATATGTTCTACAGGTTTTGACAAATGTATAATGGCATGTATTGTAGTGGATTGAATGTCCCCCCTCAAACTCAATGAAGCTTGAATTGTGTCTCCCAAGTTTTATGTATTAGAAACTCAGCCCCCATTGTGACTATTGGGAGGGTGGGAAATCCTATTATGGTAATTGAAAGGTGGAGCCTTGGGGAGGTGATTAGACTCTAGGACCATGCCCTAGTGAACGGATTAAAAATTGTGGTCAGGGGCATGGTTCTGAGGGCTTTAAAAAAAGAGTGAATGAGGAAGTTAGTCTCTCTCTCTGCTCTACCATTTTCTGCCATGTGAGACCCCTGGGGGTCACTGTCACCACCATCAAGACCCTCACCAGACATGTTCCTTGGATTTTGGACTTCCCAGCCTCTGAAACTGTAAGCAATAAATTTCATTTTCTTAGAAATTACCCAGATCCAGGTATTTTGTTATAAGCAACCAAAATGGACTAATACATGTATCCACCACTGTAGTATCATTGAATAGTTTCACTGCCCTAAAAATCTTCTGGGATCTGCCTTTCATCCCTCCCAATCCCCTAATCCCTGGTAACCACTAATCTTTTTAGTGTCTCCATGGTTTTACCTTTTCAAGAATGTCATGTAGCAGGATTCATACTGTATGTAGCCTTTTCACATTGATTTCTTTCACTTATATGTTTTTAAGGTTCTTCCACACCTTTGCATAGCTTGGTAGCTCATTTTTTTTTTAATGCTGAATAATATTGCATTGACTGGATGTACCACACTTTATTTATCCATTCACCTATTGAAAGATATTTGGTTGCTTCCAAGTTTTGGCAATTATTAATAAAGCTGCTATAAATATTTGTGTTCAGGTTTCTGTAGGGACAAGTTTTCAACTCCTTTGGGTAAATACCAAGAATAATAACTGCTGAATTATACAGTAAGAATATTTTTGTAAGAAACTGCCACACTCTCTTCCAAAGTGGCTGTACCATTTTGTATTCCTACTATCAGTGAATGAAAGTTACTGTTGCTTCACATCCTTGCCAACATCTAGTGTTGTCAATATTCTAAATGTTGGCCATTCTAGCAGGTGTGTAGTGGTATCTCATTTTAATTTACAATTCCCTAATAACAAAGGATGATAATCATTTTATATGCTTATTTACCATCTGTATATCTTCTTTGGTGAAGTGTGTGCAAGTCTTTTACGCACCTTCTAATTAGGTTTTTTGTTTTCTTATTGTTGAGTTTTAAGAGTTCTCTGTGTATTTTGGGTAACAGTCCTTTATGTCACATATGTCTTTCGCAGATATTTTCTCACAGTCTGTGTCCTGTCATGTCTTCTCATTCTCTTGACAAGTGTGTTTTGCAGAGCAGAAATTTTTAATTTTAGTGAAGTCCAGCTTATCAATTATTTCCTTCATTGATCATGACTTTGGTAATGTATCTTAAAAGTTATTATGATACCCAAGGTCATCTAGGTTTTCTCCTGTTATCTTCTCTGAGTTTTATAGTCTGGCATTTTACATTTATGTCTATAATCCATTCTCAGTTAATTTTTGTGAAGAATGTAAGCTCTGTGTCTAGATTTCTTTCTTTGCATGTGGCTGTCCAGTTGCTCCAACACCATTTGTTGTAAAGACTATCTTTTTCTCCATTATATTGCCTTTGCTCCTTTTTCAAAGATCAGTTGACCATATTTGCATGGGTCTATTTTGGGGCTCTCTATTATGTTCCATTGATCTATCTGTCTATTCATGTACCAATGCTATGCTGTTTTTGTTACTATTACTTCACCATAAGTCTTGAAATCAGGTAGTGACAGTCCTCCAATTTTGTTCTTCTCTTTCAATATTGTGTTAGCTATCTAGATCTTTTGCCTCTCCATGGAAACTTTAGACTCAGTTTGTCAATGTCCACATGATAACATCCTGGGATTCTGATTGGAATTGCTTTTAATCTATAGATCAAGTTGGGAAGAACTGACATCTTGACCATATTGAGTCTTCTTTGAACACAGACTATCTCTCCACTTATTTAGTACTTCTATTTCTTTCATCAGAGTTTTGTAGTTTTCCTCAGATAGATCATGTATATATTTTGTTAGATTTATACCTCAGTATTTCTTCTGGAAAGGATGCTAATATAAATGGTATTGTGTTTTTAATTTCACTTGTTCATTACTGGCATATAGGAAAGTGACTAACTTTTGTATAGTAACCTTGTATCCTGCAACCTTGCTGTAACTACTTATTAGTTCCAGGAGTTTTTTAATTGATTCCTTCAGATTTTCTGCAATCATATCATCTGTGAACAAAGATAAGTCTATTTCTTCCTTCCCATTCCATATACATTTTATTTCCTTTTCTTGCCTTATTGCATTAGCTAGGGCTTCCAGAATGGTTCTAAGGAGTGGTGAGAGAGGACATCCTTACCTTGTTCCTGATCTTACTGGGAAAGCTTATGTTAGCTATAGGATTTTTGTAGATGTTCTTTATCAAGTTGAAGAAGTTCCCCTCTATTTCTAGTTTGCTGAGTTACCATGAATAGATGTTAGATTTCATCTAGATTATCGAATTTGTGAGCATAGATTTCTTCACAGTATTCCTTGACTATACTTTTAATGTCCATAGAATCTGTAGTGAAGTCCCCTCTTTCATTTCTGATATAAGTAATTTGTCTCTTCTTTTTTTCCCTCAGCATAGCTAGAGGCTATCAATTTTATTGATCTTCTCACAGAAACAGCATTCGTTTTCAATGATTTTGTCTATTAATTTCCTGTTTTTGATTTCATTGATTTCTGGTCTAATTTTTATTATTTCCTTTCGTCATCTTACTTTGGATTTAATTTGCTCTTTTTATTTTTTTTCCAGTTTCCTAATGTGGAAGCTTAGATTACTGATTTTAGATCTTCCTACTTTTCTAATATATGCATTCAACGCTATAAGTTTCCCTCTAAGCATTATTTTTGCTGCATTTTACAAACTTTGATAAGTTGTATTTTCATTTTCATGTAACTCAAAATACTTTTAAATTTCTTTTTCTTTGACCCATGTGTTATTTAGAAGTATGGTGCTTAATCTCCAGGTATTTTGGGATTTTTCCAGCTATCTTTCTGTTATTATTTTGTAGTTTATGTCCATTGTGGTCTGAGAACAGACATTGTATGATTTCTCTTCTTTTAAATTTTTTAAGGTGTGTTTTACAGCCCAGAATGTGGTCTATCCTGGTGAATGTTCCATGCGAGTTTGAGAAGAATGTGTGTTCCACTGTTGTTGATGAAGCAGTCTCAGATAGCCATTATATCCAGGTGATTGATAGTGCAACTAAGTTCAATTATGTTCTTATTGATTTTCTGCCTGCTGAATCTACTTCTGAGAGGGGGTGTTGAAGTCTCCAACCATAATAATATATTCATCTCTTTTTCCATGCAGTTCTATCAGTTTCTGCCTCAGGTATTTTAACACAACTCTCTTGTTAGGCACCTAAATGTAAGAGCTAAAACCATAAAACTCTTAGAAGAAAACACAGGAGAAAAACTTCAAGACAATGGATTTGGCAATGGTTTCTTGGATATGACCCCAAAGCACAGGCAACAAAAGAAAACATAAATTGGACTGCATCAAAATTTAAAACTTTTGTGCATCAAAGGACACAACTATTGGAGGGAAAGGGAACCCACTATGGAGAAAACATTTCCAGATTATATATCTGATAATGGTTTAATATCCAGAATATATAATAAAAAAACACCTACAACTCAACAACAAAAAAACAAACTGCCTGATTTTTAAAATTGGCAAAGACTTTAATAGACATTTCTATGAAGAAGATATACTAATACTCAATAAGCACATGAAAAGATGTCCAACATCACTACTCATTATAGAAATGCAAATCAAAAACCATGATGAGATATCATCTCACACCTGAGGATGGCTACTATCAATAAGACAGATCAACAGATGAATGGATAAACAAAATGTGTTACATACATATGATGGAATATTATTCAGCCTTAAAAGGGGCGGAGGCATCTTACACATGCTACAACACGGATGAACACTGAGGACATTAGGCTAAGTGAAATAAGCTAGTCACAAAAGGACAAATACATATGCTTCATTTATATGAGGTCCTAGAGTAGTCAAATTCATGAGATGGAAAGTAGCATGGTGGCTGCCAGGGACAGGGGAGTGGGGAATTATCATTGAATATGAATAGTTTCAGTTTTCAAAGATGACAAGTTCTGAAGATGGATGGTGGCAGTGGTTGCACAGCAATGTGAATGCATTTAATGCCACTCAATTTAAACATAAATTTTATGTTTATGTGTATTTTACCCAATTTAAAAATAATTTTTAGGGCCAGCCCGGTGGCACACTGGAGAGTGCGCCGCTTGGGAGCGCAGCGGCGCTCCCGCCGAGGGTTCGGATCCCATGTGGAGACTGGTTCCCGCTCACTGGCTGAGCGTGGTGCGGGCGCAACACCGAGGGTTGCAATCCCGTTGCCGGTCCCCAGTACGGGCGCGACACCGAGGGTTACGATCCCGTTACCAGTCAGTACAAAAGACAAAAAGGAAAAAAATAAAAAATAAAAAATAATAATTTTTAAAAATAAAAACCACCAGCCTTACTCACATTCATTAGAGCAGTGGTAACACAGTCATGACTATGGGATATTTTCAGTGACCAGTAACCAAAAAGCAGACTGCTGTATCTTTGATCTAGGTCTAGTATAAGGTCTAGAGTAACGAAATATTCCACAACACGATCTTGAGTGGCCCAGACTATCTCATTGTTAGGAAGGAGAGGTAACGTTTCCCACATGCCTCCACTGATGAGCTATCTTCCCATCACTATCTCCTGCTGGTTTATCTTTAATCACTCTCCCCGGTGCAACTTCCTTGGAAAGGAAAACTTCATTAAAAAACAAAGCATAACACAAAGACAGAAATATAAATTAACTTGGAATTTCTATCACATGAAAATCTAACGTAAATGGAATGAAATACAACTAATATATAAAAGAGATAATACCCTGATGGTCCTTGAATAGCAGAAACACTAATGATCAGACTATGTAATTATAATACTTAAGTAAAAAAGTCCCATGGTACCTTCACATAGCTTCTGAAGACTAAATATTCCTATGGCTTTTTTAACAGAAATATTTATCACAATAATTGTAGATTCACATGCACTTGCAAGAAATAATAGAGATCCCTTGTACACTTTGCCCTGTTTCCTCCATTTTGAAAAATTACAGTACAATCTCACAACCAGGATATGGATACTGATACAATCTGCTGACCTTATGCAAGTTTTCCCAGTTTTACTTGTACTCATTTATGTGTTTGCATGTGTGTATTAAGTTCTATTACTATTTTATCGTCTGTTTACATTTGTGTATCCACCACTACAAACAAGATGTTAACCTGTTCCAAAACCACAAGGATCCCTGTTGCTCTTTTATAACTATATACACCTCTCCTATCTTTTACACCTGGCAACAACTAATCTGTTCTCACTTTCTAAATTCTGTCATTTCAAAAATGCTGTATGGATGGAATCACACTGTATATAAGTTATTGGGATTGGCTTTTTTGCTCAGCATATTTTTCTGAAAAATCATCCAAGTTATTACAGGTTTCAATAGTTTGTTCCCTTTTATTGCTGAGCACTATTCCATGGTATGCATATACAGAGTTTATTTAACCATTCACGTGCTGAAGGACATCTGGGCTGATTCCACTTCTGGGCTATTAAAAATAAAGCTAATATTTATTTCCAAACATTCATGTACAGGTTTTTGTGTGAACTACTCCTAAGACTTTTAAAGTTCATTTTATTAATTTTGATTGTGAAAACTTTGCATGCCATTTTTGATGATTATTCATTAAACAGTAAAACAGAATATTCCTTTTTTATCACCTTGCATGACAAACAGTTCTGGTTTTGTAAATATGGAGAAAAGCACTTAAAAGATTTAAATATTATTTAATATTTAAACAATATAGCATTAATAAATTAAAATTAATATACTCACCAATAAATGCACTATCAGATTCCAATAATGAATTTTTCAAGACATCATTAGTATCATCTCTGGGCTAAAAGAAACATCATATATTAATGACTATTTTTATTAGTCCTATGTGGAAAAATAAGAAATTTGTACTAAGAAGAAGCACAAGTTTCCATACTGTTCCCCCAAAAAGCTAAAGAGGATGGGGAGAAGTAGGACTGCTTCCCTCCTACACCACATTCAAATGGCCAGAAAATACTGGAAAGCCTTAGCACATACCACTCCCACCAAGACAGTGAGGGAAACAGTAAGACCTGATCTCTCCTGATTAGAGATTCTGGCAAGTAAAGACATTTACTTCCTAATTCCACTCCTTCCTGCCCCCTTGTGGTTGAAGTCAAATAAAAAGATCACATTACTGCTGATGAAAATATAATTAAACATTAGAAGTCTTTAACGACTGCTGGGATTCATTCATCCTTTCAATAAGTCTGTATAGTGCACTTTACTATTTCTTCCATGCTATGAACTGGGGATACAAAGATGAATTAATAGTTTCTGCTCTGGAGTAGATCATAGACCCATAGGAGGGAGAGAGACGTGCCCTCAGATAATGATAGCCCTATGTGACAGCAATTGTCACAATGACATAGCACAGATATAAAGGGACATACAATAGGGGACAAAATTAATGCTAGGGTTGGGCTTATTATAATGAGCTCCCAAATGAAAGGTAACTTAAATTTACATATAGAGAATTATAAAATACAGAATAATATCACCATATATGTCAGAAGGAACCTAAAGTTGGCTAACACCTTCCTGCACCACCCCACCAGATTTCTGGGCTTTGCTAGAACACTCCAGCAAAGAGCTGTCCACTAATTTTTGAGGCAATAAATTCCACTGATACTCAGCATTCATTATCCGAAGTTTCTTCTCTTGTACTGAATTTTTCCATATACTAAATTTAAATCTTTTTAATTTACCACCCACCGATACTATATCTACTTCCTAGCATGATTATGGTGATGATAATCACAGCAGATGAATCAAATGGTCTGAACCAGCTGTTCTCAGCACTTACACATTCTACCCAACTTCTCTTCTGCCCACAGCCCTCCACACAACTGAAGAGTGATCAAAGTACACCTAATTCTTATGTTCTCCATGACAATCATCCTCAATTTCATCCTGTTTTCCATATAATCCAGTTTCTAGGAAGATCAGGAGCCCAAAATTTATTAGCTTTTGTGTAACAGCCATGACAAACTTTGGCTTATGCTGCTCTTCTACTCAGCAAAATCTTTGTTATTAATCCAGGATTTTAAGCAAAACCCCAGATGTTAAATTTCAGTATCTTTTAACAGAGAAACATGACTGCCACATATGGAAGAACCTCACGACCTGCAGATCCTTTCCCAGTAGGTGTCAAGACATCTCAGGCCACTGTGGTGCAGGAAAAAGCAGGAGCTCTGTACCAACCTGGGTTCAAATCTGGACTTCACTGCTTATTAATGTTGTATGACCGTGGGCAAGATAATAAGCCTTTAAATATCAGTTTCCTCTTATGCAAAATAGAGATAAGCATACCTTGTAAGCTTTAGAACAAATAAAGGTCAAATACCTCACTCAGGTAGAGTGTGGTCAATAAATGGCTATTCCCAATATCGTTGTATTATCATTATTATGAGTCCAAAACCATGCACCAACAGCTACTAACTAGTAACCCTGGGCAATAAGAGCCTAGCTGAGCCTTACTTTTACAGTCTGAAAATGGGAACACTACCTATTTCCAACCTCTACCTTTTCACCTGACCTCTCTCATATCTGTGTACTCACCAGCTCCAAATGTTTGTCTAACAGGCACTTCAAACTTACCATGCCTAAAATGAAGTACCCAATCTTCCCATGACCCTTAAATTTGTTTCTCCTGCTTCTCCACCTCTGTTAATAGCAACTCCCGGCCAAAAGCCATGAAGTCCATCTTTGACTCCTGTCATACTCCACTTCAGTATGCCAAAAATCCAGTAGGTCTCCTTTGAAAATAAATCCAAACACTTCTGACACTTCCACTGCACTCACCCCGGCCTAAGCCACCTTACCTCTTGCCTAGATTACTGCAATACCATTCTTTCCTCTTCTGTCTATTTTCAATGCCCAGCAGTCAGTGATCAAGGGAAAACATCAACCACAAGCACAGCATAAAACCAAAGCCCTGGGACAGCCTCTGAGGCCCTGCAGCCTCACGCCAGCACCTGTCTGCCCCATTTGCTCCCACTTGCCCCTTCCCACAGCTTGCTCCTTACATGCACCAGGCCAACTCTGCCGGGGCCTCTGCCTGAAATGTCTGTCCTCCAGATTTCCCCCATATTTCCCATGGCACCTCCCTGGTCTCCTTACTCAAATGTTACCTATGCCCTGAGGCCCCATGCCCACTACATTTCAAACCATAACCCCAGTACTCCCCAATTCCTTTTCTGTGCTCTCATTTTCACCATACCACCATGATTTAACATACTATATAGATTAATGTGTTTATTGTCTCTCCCTCCTTTCAGAATGTAAGCCATTAGAAAGCAGAAATCTTTGTCCCTTTTGTTTACTCCATACCCCCAGCACCTGCAACAGTTTCTGGTCCATAGAAGTGCTCAATAAATACTTGCTGAATGAATCCCTTCCCTTTACTCAGTCTTGAACAAATGTCACCTCCTCAGTGAGAATTATTACTCTGTATCCCTTTATCTTGCTTATTTTATTTATAGGCCTCACCACTACTTTCATTATAGACTCCTACTTCTATCACTGTTAATCTTAATAACAGCAAACTCTTACACTGTACTTATTAAGAGCCAGGCCCTACTCTAAGAGCTTTTAATATATTATCTTACTTAATCCTCATAGCAACACTGGAGCTATTTTTATTTATTTAATAAACACATATAAAACTTATTATATGCTGGGCCTGTCTCTAAATGCCTTGAAAATATTTTATATTTATTTATTGATTGATTGATTGTTTTTTTGGCAGCTGGCTGGTATGGGGATCTGAACCATTGACCTTGGTGTTATACTACCACACTCTAACCAACTGAGCTAACTGCTTAGGAAGCTGAGGCACAGAGAGATTAAATAATTTGCCCTAAGTTACAGAGCTAAAAACAGACTCCCTCAGCCTACCACTAGAATCTTGTTCTTAGCCATTACAATATGTTTTCCCTACATATCATACGAACACTTCTCTAGCTACCCAATACACTGATCAGATGAGATTTAAATTCTTTCTTAACTCAATATTCCTGAAGAATTCAAAATTTGTAATACTAACTTATCACATTCCTAAAAATTTTTATCCCCCAAAACTAACTTGAAAACTTATGACTGATTGCTTACCATTCTTTGCTCTTGTACTTTAGCACTTGGGATGGCATCAACTGCAGTCAATGGAGAACAAAAACAAAAGTTTAGAAAATGTTAAGAAATAAAAATAAATTTTAGAATATCTTTTATGACCAGCTCTCTACTGAAAATTATTTTTAAACTACCATACTTCAGAATATTTTTAAAATACAACTTGCTTATCGATAAATACAACCCTTCTAGTTGGATAAAATTCTTCCATTCACATTAATGAATATAGCAAGTAAACTCAAAACTGATGCATTCAGAAAAAGGAAATGATTAATGTAAAATTCTTCACCATCTTCTGTTACATTTCGAAAATCGGTATAGAAAGTTGTTGAGTGGAGGCTTACAGTCAAGATGGCAGAATAGACAGTCACCAGTGTCACTCTCTCCAATAAATCAACCAATTTACAACTATTAAAAAGCAACGACAGCCAAGTGGGGGCTGCTAGAGTCCAGGGGAAGAGGAGGAAAGACCTACAGAGTACATGAAGGCAGGAGAAGCCACAATGAGAAAAAGAAAGGATTGCTCCTACCATTTCAAATCCTGGCCTCTTTAAGGCTGGAGCTGGTGAGCACATGGAGCAAGAGCTGGCAATAGCCGCAGCTGTTCCCTTCATATGAAGTTTCTTGGAAACGGCAGGGGAGAAGAGGGCCTTAGTGGCCCTTAGGCCAGCAGGACCACTAAGAGGGTTCCCGTGGACCCACGTAGGAGCAAGGAGCCACAACAACTGAAAAAAGGAACCACTGAGAGGACGGTGAGTCATGGTAAGGGACCAGGGAAGTGTTTGGAGTGCAGGCAGTAGGGTAGATGGGTCCACCGGGGGAACACTGGGGCACCTCATGGGCAGCTGATCTGCCCCCAATCTGCACTGGACCAGTCAGAGGAGACTGGTCACGAATACAGAATTGCAGGGGGAGCAGTTTGCTGAAAAGACTCAGGCCCAGACCAGAGTTTCTATGCAACCCAAGTGTACGGATTTCACGAGACCCAGAAGTACCTACAAAGTCAACCATTAAAACATAAGCTGCACAATAAGCCTTCCCCAGGGAATCAGCAGCAAAGCAGCAATTTGGCTTAACCACAGGGCTCAAGTGTTGGTCCCCACAGGAAGTTCCCCCATTTTAGAAGTAAGCAAAGGACAACAAATTAGTTCCCAAGTACAGTTTAAGTGGTGGGAACAGCAAATAATCCAACACAGAACTGAAAGAAAAAACAAAATACCTACTGACCAGAGACAAAGTTTGATATTAACTACTGAAGGTCTCACATCACTAAAGAACACCTATAACACCTAGAAGGACTGGAGGCCCCCTGGGCCCCCAAGCCAGGGATGGGGGAGGGCCTGGGGCTTCAGCCATGCCTGACACCGACAGTCCAGCGACAACTGCCAAGCTGCCACAGGAAGTGCCACGGGCTCCCAAACCAGGACAATGGGGGACTGAGGGCCTCAGGCACAGCCCCCCGACACCCACAACCAGCTGAGCAACAACCACTGAGCCACCACAGGAAGTGCCCAGGCTCCTGAGCTGGGACAGTGAAGGGCCAAGGGCTTTGGCCACATTCCCCCAACATCTGCAACCAGCCCAGCAACAACACTGAACCACTGCTGGAAGCTCCCTGGTCTCCCCTGAAGGAATGAGGGGGGTGCCATGGGCCTCAACCATGCCCCCCTTCCTCCTTCTCCCACCATATTTCCTTCCCCCTTTGCCTCTCCCTCTCCCACCCAATTGTTCTGCAACAACAAATTTTTATCAACGTCTTGACCTGCGATCTGGGCCTAAAGTGTCACATCATTTACTTCCGTGATGCTGTCTCACAGGTCAAAAAAGCTTCCTCTGATTCTGCAAGCCAGACCAGCCTGCCAAAGTAGGGTCTTAAACTTTCCTAAAAATAATTGGTAGGACCATCCCTCCTAATCTTATCTGATTGTTATGTTTTTATGACTTATTTTCCATGGCCACCACCCTCGACGGCCTGAAGGCTGGCAAAGCTAGTGAAATTCAGGTGTGAGGGCCATGCAGCACTCGGAGTATCAACAGGGCCCATGTACGCTCTCTGAGACAACTGGTCTCTACTCTGCCTCTAGGTGCCCGCCCCCCATTCCGTTACGCACTCCCACAGGACCTTAGATTTCTTCTATGCAAAATTCGTCACACTTATTTAGCATCTAACTTCTCTAATAGACTATCAGCTCCTTGACAGCAGCAGCGTATTTCATTCATCGCCATCCCCTGAATATAGTCAGGACCGGCACTTCTAGTAGGAATATGTTGATTGGCTGACTAATGAAAACAATCATAGCCCAGTCTGATGCTTTACAGATTTTATGCCACATCAAAACTTAACTACAACCCCATACACAGTAAAGAAATGCCTCACAGGGCACTGATGTGTTTGCTCCACAGTCCTTCCTTTGTTTCCTAGCTCCTGATACAGATGTCACCTTGCTGGTCAAAGTACTCGGTCCTCTTGGCGACAGGGAAAGACTGGGCCCCTCTCATGCATGTATACACCACCCCAGCTGAGCCCAATCAGAGCCCTCTCCAGGACTTGATCTTTTCTGGGAACACAGGCCAAAAGGGCCATGTGAGCATGGAGCTGTCAGTGAAGGGACCTGCTTGGGACTGATATCAAGACAAGAGACAGAGAAAGCAAGCCAACAAAGAACAACCCACTGACACTATTTGAAACAGTAATAACTATTCCCTACCTTCAGCACCTTCCTGTATTTTTATTCTGTTCAGCCTCTTCTGCTGCTCTCTTAACAGGGCTTGCTGCTGAATCTCTAAAGTCTGATGATCTCTTGGAGGATCTGGGTACATATATTTCAGATCAACGCGTGTTTCTGAATCTGGTATAAAAATTATTACATAACTAAGTTGAATCTTGTTTTCAAATGAGATTTTATAAAACTTCACTATAAGTAACATGAGTAACCTAATTTCAAAATCAGAGAACAACATATTTACTTAGTGGGACATCACCAAAGTCAAAGGACATTAAATAGCCATAAAACTAAAGAAATTAATATTCTTTAACAAATGCCTTTTCACAAACTTATCAACATTAAGAGGAAGCCCCCAGAACAAGCAGCAGCTGTGGGTGATGCATTCTCTATCCCTGCCTTCCCCACTCCCACAAGATGCCACCGAGAACACATGGCAAGGCAATATATGCAGGTGTATCCAGTGGTCAGCCATGTGGTGACGACTCAGGCAGCCATGAAACACTATAATCACAGAAGACTTCTCAAACATCCAGGAAAGATGAAAAAATCATATTATTAGCCAATTAATATTTTAGCTCTTGCAACTATCATGCAGAAAACAAGATAAATGCAGTCTGGCTGGAACTTTAGGAGGGATGCCATTACTAGGGAAGTGACAGTATAAGAATTCACCTCTGCCACAATTTCATGACTATCAATTAATCAGAATGAAATGTTAAATATTAATTTTTAAATCTTCATAATAAATATATAGTCCATACATATAAAAAGCCCTAAAAATATTATTCCCTTTGACCCACTAATTATATTACTAGGATATAATTTCAAGACATGATCCTAAATATGTAAAAAGCTCTATGATCAGAAATTATCAAAAGGATAAAATAGTGAAAATGGGAAACATCTTGAATATCTAAGAATTAGAAAATGGTTAAAAGCAATTAGCAGAGGCTCTGGACACACAAACTTGAACTGGACCCTGACTTCACCACTTCCAGACTGTTTCTATTCTAGAAAAAATAATACCAACCACCAAGTCACAAGCTGAATGAGAACCAGATGTGATAAAACAGAAAAATGAATGGCTCATTTCTACAGTTTAAACTTTTCTGGTCTCAAGACCTCTTCACACTCTTAAAAATTGAGAGCCCCAAAGAGCTGTTATTTATGTATCTCTCTCTCTCTCTCTCTTTCTCTCTCTCTCTCTCTCTCTCTCTCTCTCTCTCTCTCTCACACACACACACACACACACACACACTTTCCATTGTAAAAAATTAAAACGAAGAAATTTTTAAAACATAAGAACACGCAAGCACACATTCTATTAGCTTCAGAGAGATGAAGTCATCACATGCCGTGGGTACTCTGGAAACCCTGTATACACACGACAGAATGAGAATGAAAAAGAAAAATAATGCCTCAGTTTATAATAAAAAACCTTGACCTCGTAGGTCCATAGACCAAACTCTAAGACCCACTGGCTTAATACAATGCCTGGCAGATAATAAGTAATCAATAAATGATAGCATTAAAAATAACTATGGTATATGTAACTGATGATACATGTAAATCTAAGTGAAAAAGAAAAAAAATTAAATAATTGTCTTTTTTTGTTTAAATTATGCTCAACAAGACTACAAAATATCCAAATGTTAATTGTGTTTATATATAAATACTTTGACTAAAGTAATTTTTCCCTCTTTTCAAATTTTAAAAATTTGCTATAATAAATAGATACTACTTTTAAAAATAAGAAAAAGAAGAAAAGTTTAAATTGTAGTTTACTGGCAGAGGTCATATGACCAGATATACAACAATTTGCCTCCTCTGCTCCAACACTTGCTCTGTTGAATGCTCCTAAAGAAAAACCACATATAATATGTATTTTGGTTCCTCTACACATTTTCTGTCTCCCAAGCCTAATGTACCTTGGCGTCTAAGCTTTCTCTCCCATTCCTTCTAGATGGCTACCTCACATCTTCTCTCAACTCTCTTCCCTCAAATCCCCTAGATTTCCTCCTACCTACTCAGGGACCTTCCTCTTCAACAATTATTCCTTCCCTGTCCTATATCCTAAACCTCTTCCTCCTGCTCTTCATATTAGCATCCTAACAAGTTCTTCCAGCTCCAGACCCTTCTCCACTTCCCACCCAAGCTTCTTCCGTCGGTGGTCTTATGCCTATTGCCTCCAAAATCTTGCCTCCTAATTAATCCTCATTCCAAAGTTAATTGGCTTCTGATCCAATCATTCCACTTTTAAAGATCTAGTTGAGGTCACCAATGACCTCTGATCCAAATGACACTTTCTGATATTCATCTTACACGATCTCATTGATATAATCACTCTCTTCCCTTAGCTTTCAGGATCCCACATTCTCCTGCTTTCCCTCCAACTGCTTTGGCTTTTTCATAAGCTCCCTCCTCAGTCTTTTTCATAAGCTCATCTTCCTCTGTCCATCCTCCATCAAAAGCAAAGTTCCATTCTTCATGCTAGTCTATGTGATTTCATCCACGCTAAGGCTTTAACAGCTATCTGCTCTCCAAAAGAAAATTTTAGCAAAACCACAGCGATTGGTAAGTTGAAGAACTACAATATACTGAAGTTTTATTCATCATAACTTAAAATATGTATCATAAATGAAATTTCACTTTAGAAAAAGGGTACAAATGTCTTTAAAGATACTTGAATATGAGTAGAACACTCTTGCTGTATCTTTAAAATAGCAGACACCTACTCACCTCTATCTTTCAGCTCATTAAAATCATGGATATTCTGAAAAGTGGTAGTGTCTAAACCCTTAGGTGACTGTCTTCTGACAGGAGCTTGCAATCGATGTCTAGCCATGTCAAATATATCCATGGGATTCTTTTCTCTTTTCCTACAGATAAATGATAAATCATGATAAATGTGCTTTATGGAAGAAAATCTGAGTTCACATTTAATTCACTGTAAAAAAAAAAAAAATTTGGCCTCTTCACCACAGTATATTATAGAAATTTTTTTTATTTTTAATTTTAATTTATCAACATACAACATAGTTGATTTTTGTGTCCCTTTATCAATTCCTCCTTTTCCTCCCTTCCTCTCCACTCTCCCCCACATCACCATATCTGTTCATGTCTTAATAAAATCAAGGAATTGTTGTGATTGTTGTGTCTTCTTCTCCCTCAACCCCCGTTCATTTATTTACTTATTTATTTTTATTAGCTCCCACAAATAAGTGAGAACATGAGTTATTTCTCTTTCTGTGCCTGGCTAATTCCACTTAATATAATTTTTCTCTAAATCCATCCATGTTGCTGCAAACGGTAGTATTTTTTTTTTTTTATAGCAGAGTAGTATTCCATTGTGTAGATTTACCACATTTTCCTTATCCACTCATCCAATGATGGGCACTTAGGCTGGTACCAACTCTTGGCTATTGTAAATAGTGCTGCAATAAACATGGGAGTGCAGGTATCTGTTTGACATGGTGATGTCCATTCCTCTGGATATACCCAGCAGTGGAATAGCTGGGTCATATGGTAGATCTGTCTGTAGTTGTTTGAGGAACCTCCATACTATTTTCCATAAAGGCTGCATCATTTTGCAATCCCACTAACAGTGTAGGAGGGTTCCTTTTTCTCCACAACCTCACCAGCATTTGTCATTCTCAGTCTTTTGGATATTAACCATCCTAAATGCAGTGAGATGGTATCTCAAAGTGGTTTTGATTTGCATTTCCGAATACTGAATGATGCCAAACATTTTTTCATGTGTCTGTTGGCCATTCCTATATCTTCCTTTGAGAAACGCCTATTCAGCTCCTTTGCCCATTTTTTTATTGGGTTACTTGTTTTTTTTTTACTGTTAAGCTGTTTGAGTTCCTTGTATATTCTGGTTATTAATCCTTTGTCTGATGTACATTTTGCAAATATTTTCTCCCACTCTGTTAGATGTCATTTTGCTCTGTTAATTGTTTCTTTTGCTGTGAAGCTTTTTAGTTTGATATAATCCCATTTGTTTATTTTTTCCTTTGGTTGCCTCTGCTTTTGGGGTCATATTCATAAAGTCTGTACCCAATCCTACTTCCTGGAGTGTTTCCCCTATGTTTTCTTTAAGGAGTTTTATTGTTTCACGACTTATATTTAATTCTTTAATCCACTTTGAGTTGATTTTGGTATATGGTGAGAGGTACGGGTCTAGTTTCATTCTCCTACATATGAGTGTCCACTTTTCCCAGCACCATTTACTGAAGAGGTAGTCTCTTCTCCAGTGTGTGGTCTTGGAGCCTTTGTCAAAGATCAGATGACTGTAGGTGCATGGGTTGATATCTGGATTCTCTATTCTGTTCCATTGGTCCATGTGTCTGTTTTTATGCCAGTACCCTGCTGCTTTGGTTACTATAGCTTTGTAGTATAGTGTAAAGCCAGGTGCTGTGATGCCTCCAGCTTTTTTTTTTTTTTTTTTTTGCTCAGGATTGTTTTGGCTATTCATGGTCTTTTGTTCTTCCATAGGAATGTTAGGAATGTTTTTTCCAATTCTGAGAAAAATGTCGTTGGAATTTTGATGCAGACTGCATTGAATCTGTAGATCACTTTGGGTAGTATGGACATTTTCACAATGTTAATTCTTCCAAATCCAAGAGTGTGGGATATCTTTCCATCTTCTTGTGTCCTCTCTAATTTCTCTCAACAGCAGTTTGTAGTTCTCATCATAGAGATTTTTCATATTCTTGGTTAAATTTATTCCTAGGTATTTTATTTTTTTGGTGGCTATTTTAAAGGGGCTAGCTTTCTTAATTTTTCTGCCAGTTCATTGTTAGAATACAGAAATGCTACTAATTTTTGCATGTTTATTTTATATCCTGCAACTTTACTAAAATTATTTATTAACTCTAAGAGTTTTTTTTTTGTAGAGTCTTTAAGCTGTTCTATATATAAGATCATGTCATCTGCAAACAGGGACAGTTTGACTTCATCTTTTCCAATCTGGCTGCTCTTTATTTCCTTCTCTTCTCTGATTGCTCTGGCTATTATTCTCACCACTCCTATTCAACAGGAGTGGCAAGAGTGGGTATCCTTGTCTTGTTCCTGTTCTTAAGGGAAAGGCTTTCAATTTTTCTCCATTCAGAATGATATTGGCAGTGGGTTTGTCATATATGGCTTTAATTGTGCTGAGATACTTTCCTTCTATATCCAATTTATAGAGAGTCTTTATCATAAACCAATGTTGAATTCTGTCAAATGCTTTTTCTGCATCTATTGAGATGATCATATGGTTTTCATCTTTGATTTTATTGGTGTGGTGTATCACATTTATTGATTTTCATATGTTGAACCAACCTTGCATCCCTGGGATGAATCCCACTTGATCATGGTGTATAATTTTATGTATGTATTGCTGTATTCTATTAGCCAGTATTTTACTGAGGATTTTTGCATCTATATTCATCCAGGATATTGGCCTGTAGTTTTCTTTTGTTGTATCTTTGTCTGTTTTTGGTATCAGGGTGATGTTTGCCTTGTAGAATGAGTTTGTGAGAGTGGCCTCTGTTTCAATTTTTTGGAATAGTGTGTAGAGAATTGGTATTAATTCTTCTTTAAAGGTTTGGCAGAATTCTGCTGTGAAGCCATTTGGTCCTGGGCTTTGCTTTGTTGGGAGACTGCTGATAACAGTTTCAATCTCTTTGTTATCAGTCTGTTCAGATTTTCTGTCTTCTTGGCTCAGTCTTGGTAGTTTGTGTGTGTCCAAAAACTTATCCATTTACTCCAGACTTTCAAATTTGTTGGTGTATAGTTGTTCATAGTAATTTCTAATGATTCCTTATATTTCTGAAGTATTGGTTGTAATATTACCATTTTCATTTCTAATTTTTGTTATTTGTGTCTTCTCTCTGTTTTTAATCTTGCTAATGGTTTGTCAATTTTATTTATCTTTTTAAAAAACCAACTTTTTGTTTCATTGATCTGTTGTATCATTTTTTGGGTTTCTATTTCATTTAGTTCTGCTCTGATCTTAGTTATTTCTTTTTGTCTACTAACTTTGGGTTTGGATTGTTCTTGTTTTTCTAATTCTCTAAGATGAAGTGTTAGGTTGTTTACTTGCCATCTTTCCATTCTTCTGAGGTAAGCATTTAATGTGACAAACTTCTCCCTTCATACTGTTTTTGCAGTATCCCACAGGTTTTGGTATGATATGTCATTATTTTCAATAATGTTTTTTATTTCCTGTTTAATTTCTTCTTGGACCCATATGTCATTAAGTAGAATGTTGTTTAATTTCCATGTTTTTGTATAGTTTCCAGAATTTCATTTGTTATTGATTTCTAGTTTTAATCTGTTGCAATCAGAAAAAATACACAAAATAATTCCAGTTTTTTTGAATTTGTTGAGACTTGATTTGTGACCTAACATGTGGTCTGTCCTGGAGAATGTTCCATGTGCTGATGAGAAGAATGAATGACATTGTTGGATGAGATGTTCTGTATGGTCTAAAGTGTTATTTAGGTCTTGCGTTTCTGTTGATTTTTAGCCTAGATGATCTATCCAATGTGGAGAGTGGGTTATTCAGATCCCTAACTATTATGGTATTAGTGTCTATCTCTTTCTTTAGGTCTAATAGTATTTGCTTTATAAGTCTGGCTGCTCCAATGTTGGGTGCATAAATATTTATTATTCTTATGTCTTCTTGTTGGATAGATTCTTTTATTATGTAGTGGCCTTCTTTATCTTTTTTATGGTTTTTGGTTTAAAGTCTACTTTATCTGATATAAGAATAGCTACTCCAGGGCCGGCCCGGTGGCGCACTGGATAGTGCGCCGCTTGGGAAGCGCGGCGGCGCTCTCATTTCTGCTTGCATGGTATATCTTTTTCCATCCTTTCACTCTTAATCTATCTGTGTCTTTACGGGTAAGGTAGGTCTCTTGAAGGCAGCATATTGTTGGGTCCATCTTTTTAATCCAATCAGTCAGTCTGTGTCTTTTGAGTGGAGAATTCAAACCTTTTACATTAAGAGTTATTATTGAAAGATACTGATTTACTCCTGGCATTATATTGATTTTTGTTTGGATGTTTTAAATATCTTTTATTCCTTTCTTTCTGATTTACTGATTGTCTTCTGTGTTTGTTGGTTTCTTAGAATAGTGTATAAACTTTTTTTTCCCTCCTCTTTATTGTTAACATTTTATTTTACTGGTGGGTTTTGTTCTATCTTGAGTATCCATGGTAGTCATGGTTGTTTTTCAGGTACCAGACCCAGTACTCCCTTGAGAATTTCTAGTAAGGCTGGTTGTGAGTTAGTGAATTCCCCCAGTTTTTGCTTGTCTGGGAAACATACTATTTGTCCTTTGTTTTGGAAGGATAGCCTTAATGTGTAAAGTATTGGCTGTCAATTTCTGCCTTTAATATTTTGAATATATCATCCCATTCTCTTCTGGCTTATAGGGTTTCTGATGAAAAGTCTGATGTTAGTCTGATAGGGGTTCCCTTATAGGTGACTTGATGCTTCTCTCTTGCAGCTTTTAAGATTCTCTCTTTGTCTTTGAGTTTTGCCAGTTTGACTATAACATGTCTTGGAGAGGACCTTTTTGGGTTGAATATGCTGGGAGATCTGCCAGCTTCCTGAATCTGAAGATCTGTATCTCTCCCTATACCTGGGAAGTTTTCTGCTATTATTTCATTGAATATGTTTTCAATGTCATTTCCTGTTTTCCTCCCCCTCTGGAATACCTATGATTCAGATATTGGAGCATTTGAGGTTATCTGTTATTTTTCTTAGATTTTCTTCAACTTTTTAAATTCTTTTTTCTTTTTTTGGTCTGCCTGTGTTATTTCGAACAAGCCATCTTCATGGTCAGATGTTCTCTCTTCTGCTTGTTCTAGCCTGCTGGTTAAGCTCTCTATTGTGTTTTTTATTTCGCTGAATGAATCCTTCAGCTCCACAAGCTCTTCTACATTCTTTTTCAGGGCACTGATTTCTTTATACATTTCCTCTTTCAGGTCCTGTATACTTTTTTCATTTCATTGTGCTGTCTAACTGAGTCTTCTTGTATCTCATTTAGTTCCTTAGGATTATTGATCAAAATTCCTTGTCAGTCATTTCAAGGACTTCCTGTTCTATAGGGTCTAGAACTTGAGAGTTATTGTATTCCATTGCAGGTGTCATATTTGGTTTTTCATATTTCTTGTCTCTCTCTCTCTTGGTGTTTAGTCATTGTGGGTAAGGCTTTCACAGTCTATTTGTTCCACTCTGGTGTCTGGCTGGTGGCCTGGGGGTATTATGGGTGCAGAGGGGACCGGGAACTCCATAGCTCCACTGCTGCCTTGGGTCCTGGGAGCTCGGCGGATGCTGCCATCTCTCCACTTTCTTGGTTTTTCATATTTCTTGTCTCTCTCTCTCTTGGTGTTTAGTCATTGTGGGTAAGGCTATCACAGTCTATTTGTTCCACTCTGGTGTCTGGCTGGTGGCCTGGGGGTATTATGGGTGCAGAGGGGACCAGGAACTCCATAGCTCCACTGCTGCCTTGGGTCCTGGGAGCTCGGCGGATGCTGCCATCTCTCTTAGGGCAGGGGTGGGGCAGGGAGGGGATTCTCCTCAGAAGATGTTTCTAAAAGAAACCACAGATACCAGAGGACTGATGTTCTCTAGCATCACATCTCTGGAATATACCCAGCAGGGAACACTCTTCCTAAGTGAAGTCCATAGTCAAACCATCAAAGTCACTGCTCATTCTCAAGGTCCACATCTTTCTGCTCAGGTGGCTGCAACATGCCTTGGAGCCATGAGGACATCTCAAAGGAATCCCTTCTCAGTTATGTCTGAACAACAGCAGCTGCTCCAACTTTCAGTTTTGGGAGCTGGGAAGTCCACAGTCCAGGGAACACATCCAGTGAGGTGACTCTACAGCAATGCAGGGTGTCACATGGTGAGAATGGCAGAGCAGAGAGAGACAGAGGGGAGGCGCCAGGATACTCTTTGATAGAAATTATTCTAATAGCTCTGTTACCTCAATCTCTTATCTCAAAAAAATAGGGTATTTATAAGGTCATTGTACTCTTTCAAAATGCTCAGATGCATGGTATTTTATTGGAAGAATAGAATAATTCAGCTTTACCTTAAAATGTTCATGTAGTAGAAAGATCACAATCTGTGAGGTCAGAGAAACTGAGATTCAAAGACCAACTCTGCTACTTACTAGTAGTTTGACTTTGATTTCATCATCTTTAACATGCAGATAATATCTATGCCTTGCAGTCTTGATATGAGCAAGAAAATTAAGAGAAATTATGTATTGTAAAGTACCCAGCATAGTATTTGGTAATCAATAAATGTTACCTTCCCCTCAGCCTAAAATAGAAACTACACATGGTAATTAATATTATATTAATATGCTGCTCAATAATGACTATTATAGTATTAATATGCTGCTCTATAATGAGTATTACTCAGAGTATTCCATGCTCATTTTTACAATGCTCTTTCAGAGAACTTATACCAAATCAGTTAGTTGATACTCTATTCCTGTGGTACCTAGGAAATTAACATAATAGACAGGTAGCTTAGTAAGGGAGTTTTCTGCTATGGCTTTGGGGTAGTTACAATAAGAGAGGTCGGGGATGAGGGATGGTATTTCTGGTCCTGAAATAAAATCAAACCAAATATCCACTGCTGCTTCACTTAGCACTAGGTAGGTCCCCTCTATTTGTGAAAATGTAGATCTAAGCCATACTCATATGAGGTTTGGTCAGACTCCTTCCTTCATTTCTTTATTATTAAATCTTATGTAAGCACCTACCTAAACAGGAATAGTGGGAATCCCCACAGACAATGTCCCTGCTGTCATGGAGTTTCCTTTCTGAGAGGAGGATTCACTAGGGCCATAAAATGACCCTAACAAGGCTGACACAGACTTCTAATACTCACGTAGGGTGACAGGAACTATGGAGATTCATTAAAATGCAAAACAAAAAGACTTCTAGAAAACCTTTCCAGTGTCCATTAATGCTACCAGTTAAACAGGCTAATAAGTTAGGAATTAGGATTAGATCTTTGCATGAGAGCTGCATCACGTTTGTTTTGTGCCTAATATAAAATAGGAACTCAGTGGTGTACTGAATTAATTAATGGAGATTCTTTTTGTGAAAACGTTTGTAAAATTAGAATAAAGAACCAACCTTGACATGTCTCTAAACACAATACATATTAAAAATTAATCCAAAGTGAATTTAACCAATTCTTGCTAAATGATGGTAATACTAACATATGTTATCTATCTATCTTAAGTTAGAACTTAGAGTTTACAAAGTCCTTTCAAATGCACACATTTATTTATTCTTCACTAGAATCTCATGGGACAGAAATTATTAGTATAATTTCCAAGTGAGAAAACTGAGAGACTGATTGGTTTCTCTCAGTTCACCTGGATTGCCAAAAGAGAACACAGTATCCAATTTATGAATAAAAATAATGAAAATGAATAAAATGTCAATAAACTATTACACTGAATTAAATATTCATGTTAGGAAGAAAGAAAGCTGCAACAGTTAAGGTATTTATAAAATCATAAAAATAAAAACAGAAGAAATATACTACTTTTCAACTAGGTAGAAGTGGTTGACCTAACTACGGGAGAATCATTCACTGAAAATTAACAGCTTGAATTAACATTTCATTCTATAGTCAATCTATATCTTGAAATTTCCTCACCTTGTTTACCTAGTCAGAACATGCTTAGAGAATGCAAACAAAAATCTAAGCAGAACATAATGAGGCAGGTTAACACGCTATGTTAAAATCTCACTAGATACTGGATTAGTCAGAGAACATCAGTATGAACTTAATATATATACAAATAGGTAGACACAGGAACAATTATAGATATGCTTATATTTACAGTTTAGTATACATGCATATATCATCCAGCTCTGTTCACTAAGAGGCCTACAAGCAATTACGCCCAGCAATAAGCACACCCAGTACCCAAAGCCTTGGAGAAATGGTCGATTCTAGGGTGAGGAAGGGGAAATACAAGATGATTCTGAGGCAGATTATAGTACCAGAAAGTAAGAAAGTGTCTAAACGACAAAAAGATGGGGATGTGTCAAAGGGACCCAGGAGCCAACCAAAAGAGCTCCCAATTGCCAAAGCTGAAATAATTTGTAAAACAAAATAAACAATGTGGTATTGGATTATAACCCAAAGTCCAAATTAAATATACATTAGATAACAGTAACATAAATAAATAATTGAATAAATAAATGGGAGAAGAGACAAATCTTTCTTACAGAAAAATTCCAAATAATTTATATAGGTAACCCCCTCACCTCCAGGAGATGGAGCTTAATCCCATCTTCTCCTCACTCTTGAGAGTGTGTTAGATTTAGTAATTTGTGATCAGAGAATAGGAACTTTGTAGTGGAGAAAGCTACCAAACACTACTTTAACCAAGTGATGAAGATTAACATCACCAGGGATGTCACGTGTGTATATCATGGACCCCTGATATGATGCAATGTGTGAAGAGCACTCTGTGCTATTCTTTCCCAAAACTCTTAACCCCAGTTGAACCATCAGAAAACATCACACAAATCTAGTAGACTGGGGGAGAAAAGAAGAGGGAGTACCCTACAGGATATCTGGTCAATACTCTTCCAAACTTTCACCATCATGAAAAATAAGGAAGGACTGAGAAACTGTCTCAAACCAGAGGAGACTGAGAGACATGACAACTAAATGCAATGTGGAACCTTATACTGGACCCTGGAACAAATCTAAACAGCCTGGAATTTAATTCATAGTAATGTTCCAATGTCAGCTTCTTAGTTGTAACAAATGTACCCAGGTAATGTAAGATGTTAAACAATAGGGAAAACTGGATGAAGGGTGTACAGAAATTCTATGTAAAATGCTTGCAACTTTTCTATAATCTAAAATTACCCCCAAACAGAAAGTTGACTGTTAATAAAAGAAAGGGTGGTAGTTACCAACTATATCGATTTTACAACATACTCAAAGACTGCAATCTGAAGTTTGAAGAATACTGCTTTAGAAAATGTATAAGGCCTTATAGCAGAAAGTGGTCAGAAATATCTGGTAGCCTGTAAGAGATTTTGCTAGAAAGTAAGTATTTCAGAAAGCATTACGTTACTGAAGGAAAATGTAAAAAACAGTTCTAAAATGTAATTGTCTGTGATTATTCCAATCCTGAAATTTTCCATTCCTATATCCTTATCCCCCTCGAGGACTAAATTTCTATCCCTGATTTCGTTGAAGACCAGAAAAGGGAAAGTTAGGAGATTGTAACTAAGATGAATTAATCCTGTTCCCAAACTATAATATTCCTGGATAGATGACACAAGATAAAAGAACTCAAGAAAAAAACAAAAAATGCAATTATAAACTTGCCTTATATGAATTTCATCATCACTGTCCACATGTAGCAACCGCCCTTGTAGACGCCTCTCCTCACTACGAAGCTGTTTTCTCATTTCTGATAATTCCATAATCACATTTTTTTTCTCCTCTGCAAATTCCAATTGATAAGTAAAAAATAAGATAGGTATAAGAACAGAAGATTAAACATTAAAACATAACCTGACATCACAAAGTTAAAATGCTCAGAAACATTTTATGAACGGTATTTTTAATGTTTCATATATATATATATACACACACACACACACACACACACATATACATATATACAGATGATATTTACGAACATTAAGACCCACAAACATATTTTTTGATAACAGGAATTTCAAAAGTTAAGAGACATTCTTGGGAGGGGAGAGTGCAACTATAAAGGGGCAGCACAAGGGGTTCCTTAGTAGTGACGGAACAGCTCTGTATCTTGATTGCCACAGTGGTTACATAAATTATACATGTAAAAATGCATAGAACCACACACCCACACCCGCACACTCACACATATGAAACTGGTGAAATGTGATGAAGTTCTATAGAGCATACCAATGTCAACTTTCTGGCTGTGATAATTGTACTACATAAGATGTTACCACTGGGGGACACTGGGGACACTGGGGGATGCTGGGGGAAGGGTACACAGCACCTCTCTATACTGTTTGTGCAACTTTCTTTGAGTGTATAATTATTTCAAAATAAAAAGTTAAAAAAAAGAAATACTCTAGATTATAGGTTTAATAGTTAACTCTACCTTCTGCACGGAGCTGATTTTTCCTGGCAGGTACTGGAGGAGATTGTGCCCTTGACATGGAACTTTCCTGTTTAACAATAATGGCAAAAATATGCTCAGTATGTCTTCCCTACTCAGAAGCTTGAAAAGAGTAATTTTTTTGAAGTACCTATATATAAAGGAAACCAAACTCCACACTATCCTATCTGGAAATCTTACCCACATCTATACCTATTCTTTCTTCTCTTTGCAATGGAAGGGTCCCTGTCTCTTCCAAAGATAATCCTTCACCTGTACTCTGTATATAAATAAATTCCACCTCCTCCAACAATTATCTTTTCTCCAACCTCTTCCTCTCTCCAAGCACCTTCCTCTCAGACTATGCATAAAAACCTCTCCTTTCTTTAGAAAAAAGTCTTACCTCACCCTTCATCACTCACTACCTCCTGTCCATACTCTCCTTCCCTCATAACTAAGCTTCTTTAAAGAGCAGTAAATGCAGTGTTTCTGGGCTCTACTTCCTTATTCCCATTCACTTGACACACAGGGACTGCCTCTGCTTCTACACTCGATCACTCCAGCACACTGCCCTCACCAAAGTCATGAAGTGATCCCCGAGTGACACACTTGGCAGGCATTGGAAGTTATCTTACTTGGCCAGCAGCAACTGATATCATCACGACTCTGTTTCACCTTGTCTCTATTCCTTCCCCTGCTTCTCAAATGTTGGTAACTCTACGATGCTCCATCCTCAGCCCTCTGTACTTGTTCCTCTACACACTCATCCTAGACAATAGTATTAATTTGACAAACACCAATATGTTAATGGCTTCCAAACCTACAAGTCCAGCCCAAAACTCCATCCTCAGCCACAACTCTTATTTCCAGCCTCCTCCTCTACATAACCCCCAGCCGAAACTTGAAAGTTATCACTGACTCCTCCTACCACACATTCAGTCAAATACTTCTACTTATGCCTCTTAAATATATCACAAAGCTGTCATCCCTTCTTCTCAGTTCTTGGTGTCACTGCCTTTATTTAGGTCCTCAGAGTCTCACATCTGGACTTCTGCAAAAGCATCTTAATTTGTCTCTATGTTTACAGTCTTGCCCCACCTCTAAAATATATCTCCACAACACTGCCTGAGAGAATATTATAAAAGACAAAAGTAGCCATGTCATTCTCCTACTTAAAATATCACAATGAATTCCAATGCATTATAGACCACAGACGCACTGAATCAGAATCTCAAAGGGTGGGATTCGGGAAGATCCAACACATTTCTTTGCCTGTTCTGGTAATTAGCCTACATTTCTTTGACTGTTCTGGTAATTAGCCTGTCTAAAAGCCACTAGTCTATGGAATGAAGTCAAAGTCCTTAGCAGTCACTCCCTACCACACCATGCGTAGGTTCTGACCTCTGCCTCCTCTGCTGCCTTAGCACACAAGCATCATCGGGCCAGACCAAACCACAGAAGGTTCATCATGTGTGCCATGCTGGCTCTCACTGCCCTTCACAACTGTACACATGCTGGAAGTCCTTCACCCTCCTTCTCTTTATGGCAAATTCCTATTCATTCTTCAAACATCAACTCAAGGATCAACCCTTTTGGAACATTTTCCCTGAGGTTTTCAATGTAGCTCAGGATAAAGTATAAGGGACTTCATTAACATAACTACAGCTAGCTAGAAGAAATATTTTCAAAGAAAGAAACTTTCTGAGTGGCCTAGACAAGAATCATTTGCTAAATCATGGTTTGTCAAAAGAATTAAACCTTAGGGCATCAGTACTATCAGTTACAACTTAAGCAGCAGGCAAATTAATGTAGATATTACCTATATTTCAGATCTAAAAATTTAACCTATCCAAATATGATGAATAAGAAAACCCCATCAATCCTTCCAATCCAAAATAACTGAACTAAGATTAACAAATCAATACAAAAAGTACATACACGAATAAAGGAACTTATGATGCTGTCAACTGAAGGAGGTCTTTGGAGTCTGCTCGCAATTTTGTTCTGAAGAGCAGGAACTATAGGAGAAGGCTGTCTCAAGTGCTGAAAAAATTTTTAAAATGAATATATATACACAACCATGCACACACATGAAGGTGCTTCAAAAAGTTCACGAAAAGATTCATATTATCTTTAGTTCTATTTTTCCATTAACTTTCTGAAGTACCCTTTTATATACGCACACGTACATATGCGTGTATATTTATGTATATGTATATTTATGTGTATACACACACATACATTCACCCCTAATAATTAACAAAATCATCTAAAAAGTTCAGGTTGTTATTTCTTTTACTTAATAAAATCCTTTTTACAAAAAGTTAGAATTTCAATTACATAAGATCAAATATATTGGTTATGATAAACATAAATTTTAATATCCATATCAAAAAAATATGACTCTCAAAAGGAGAGAACAGAACTGAGGCCACCCAGGGTAGGAAAGGGGGGAGAGGGAGGTAGGGTTAGCAAGAAATTGGTAAAGGGCCACAAAAAATGATTACATTGTATAACACTTAATATACTATTTATCCTGATGTGAGTTCATGTGCTGCACACAGGTGTTGGTATTTAACACTGTACCCCACAGATATGTACAATTAATTATGTTTCCTTTTTTTTGTGTGTGTGTGTGACCGGTAAGGGGATCGCAACCCTTGGCTTGGTGTTGTCCGCACCGCGCTCAGCCAGTGAGCACACCGGCCATCCTTATATAGGATCTGAACCCACGGCGGGAGCGCCGCTGCGCTCCCAAGCTCTGCACTCTCCCGAGTGCGCCACAGGGCTAGCCTTATGTTTCCATTTTTAAAGAATGATTTTCTAGTAAAAAAAAAAAATATGACTCTCAGATTAGGATAAAAAATCAACAAACCTAAATAAAGCAGCAGAATACCAAATGTTAGAAAAGATGGGCCAGCCCGGTGGCGCACTGGAGAGTGCGCCACTTGGGAGCGCGGCAGCGCTCTCGCTGAGGGTTCGGATCCCATGTGGAGACTGGTTCCCGCTCACTGGCTGGGCATGGTTGCGGGCGCAGCACCGAGGGTTGCGATCCCATTGCCGGTCCCCGGTATGGGCGCGACACCAAGGGTTGCAATCCCGTTACTGGTCAGTAAAAAAGACAAAAAGGAAAAAAAAAAAAAAGAAAAGAAACAGAGAAGACACAGCTGAAGTAAAAAATGGACTGAAAAATAAAAAGGCAATAGGACAATCCAAAAAAACTAACAAACAAAATCCCTTTTCTGGAAAATAATACCTCTAAAATCTAGAAGGGCATCACAGATGAGATTTTCCAGAGCATGGTAGGATTCTGTGTCTCCATAGAAAATAAAATGGGATCTCAGTTTACAATGTATTAAAGCTAACAGTCCCCAACTTCACATTAAAATCAAAATACTGAAGGCATAAAAACGCCCAACAAATTGCAATTAAAAAAACAAAACAAACAAAAAAAAGCAGACCAGAATATATGTGTGGACATTAAGCTCTTCATTTTGCAAGGTAGCAAAATCATATATTAGTTTCACTGTTGAAACTTTAATAAAATCAGAAATGTATGTGAGGGAACTTTTTTTTAAAACCTCTAGGTGACCACAAGCAGACTTATGAAGACAATATAAACCTTCTAAAGCATGGTAGAGAATGAATCAGACAAACACATAGCTCATATAACAAGAAAACAAATAACTATCAAGAAAGCAAAAACAAATGAAAAAAATTAGAAATTCAGTTAATACAATCAAATATATTGGTTATGATAAACTTAAATGGACTTAGAAATCCCTGTTCAAAAGATTCTAATTATACGATTAGGATAAAAAAATTCAACAAACTAAATATACAGGCTAACTAAAAAATAAAATATGGTGACATGAAGGCAAAAACTAAAACAGCAGACAAAAAATATATATCAGGCATACATACATAAATTTTAAAAATGACAACTAGCCATGTTGATTTCACAACTGAGAACAAAATGCATTAAATGGGATCAAGTTAATTTAAAACTTTATGGTATTTTACAATTAAACTATAACAGTTATAAAATTATATATTTCTAAGAAACAGTAATTCTTTAAGCATAATAAGAAATTGCCAGAAACACATTTGTGGTAATCTAACAAACTCTTTCATTTTAAATTGATGAATTTTGCAATAAAAAATTCTCTGTACTTTCCATTCAATTTTGCTGTGAACCTAAAACTGCTCTAAAAAAATATATATATATAGACAAAAAATATATATATATATACACATATATATACATACATATATATATATTTATATATATATATACATGTATATATATGTATTTTTTTTTTTTTTGCATCTGGCCAGTACAGGGATTCAAACCTGTGACCTTGGTGTTATAAGGTTGCACTCTAAAAAATAAATTTCATTAATTAAAAAAAAAATGACATTCAAATAATATATTTTAAGAGGCTGAACAACTGTATATCAAACTTTTACCCTAAGAATGAAGACTATTGCCTCATACTCCTAGAACACTAAAAATAACACAAACAAAAAATATAGATCTAACTTATAAGTTCTCTTTTAAACAATCTTTCAGCAAATTCTAATTGTGAATACTTATCATTTCTATCACCATAAAACCCTGGGATAAGACATCAAATAGCATATTTTAGCCAATCAGAAATGGTTCATGTTATATGTAGTAGGTTACATATCAAACAGTATACCAAGCCACATCATAAATACACCAGAGGAACCCACCAGTTAAAAGGAATCTTTTTGTGTATCCTGCTTAGAAGAAATAATGTTTGCATTAAATACAAATTTCTGAAAACAATTTTCTTACACTAAATTGGGCTATGTAGAAGACATACAAAGTGTTCAAAGTGGGGCCTTCAGGCCAGCTCCATCCAAACCCCTAAGGATACCTGTAAAACACAGATTCCTGTACCTCCTCAGACTTAGTAAATCAGATCTTGGACTTAATAAACCGGATAACTTGCCAGTGAGAACCCAGGGACTTGCATTTCTAACAAGCCCTCAATGATACTTCTGTATACAAAATATTAAACGTACCTTTGAAATATGAGCAAGGGTGTGAACTGGGTCCTCATAAGGGTCAACTAGCTTTCTAGAGAGGAAACCTATAATAACTTTGATGCATGCACCTAACCCTGAATATCAACCCTTTATCTCAGAGACATGGACTTCAAGACCATGACAGTTTCTTTTTTAATTACCAATCCATTGTGAACAATTGTGTAAAAGAGAGTAAGAATGAATCACTACACCTAAATGAAAAAAAACATTTTTACAGGCATGTAAAATTCAAGCCCAAGCTTTTTATTAGTAAATTGAACAGACATTAAGTTACTTTGATGAGTTGCTATAAATGTTTCCAAACACTCTCAATTTCTGTATTTGGTCTTGTTATAAACCACAATAGTTCGCAGGGTGCTGGTCCTTAGACTCTTAGACTCACTGAAGACTATGGGAATGAGACTAAGAATGGCTAAGGTAAGTAAATCCATTACATTCGTTGGGCAGAAAATACCAACAAAGCAGAGTGACAGCATCTCATATAGGAAGCTCAGTACATTGCACCCAGACTAAGCAACAGAGGGAACAAAAGTACATCCTCCTCCACAACTCTCACAGTGAAAGCGGGTTAATCTAAGGGTTTGATTGACATTTTTGTCTGAAACTTACCTTTGTTTCTTCCCCAATGATATTTTCTCTTTCATAGTAGTGCTGAAGTTGCAGGTTATGTTTTTCTTCTTCTTCTTTCTTCTTTCTTTCTGCTTCTTTTCGTCTTTCTTCAGCTAACCGAATAAGCTCTTCATTTTTTAGCCTTTGCTTTAAAATAAGAAAAACATACACTCCATATATAAATTCTACAGTATACTTAAAAATTTGCTGCCTTGTTTGTCTGCTATAAAGAGATAAAATATAAGACATAGATATGGATGTTCTTTAACATAAAGAATCTGCTTTACAATAAAATATTAGGCATCTTTCATAATATCCTCAGTCAGCCTATAACTAATTTTTGGTTAAAAAAATCATCATTTATCTCTTTTCTAAAATTAGTCTCTCATCTTAATAAAATAATATCCAATAAATAAACACTGATATTTTCTAAATGTACTCCAAGAGCATTCTTCTTTATAAGTAATCAATATGGAGGGATTTTTTAACTCAAAATAAGGATTTCATTTTCAGACTAAGTAGTAATACAGAGTAGAGGGAAAAAATGCACCTCCTCCTCTTTCTCCCTTTTTTTTTCCTGTTCTTCTTCATACTCTTGCTGAATTCGTGCCCTCTGTTCTGCAAGCCGTCTTTCTTCTTTTTCTTCTGCAATTCTTAGTCTTTCTCGCTCTGCTTCTTCTCTTTGTTTCTTTTCCTCAATCTAAAGAATTAAACCTAGTTATTTTGTAAAATTACTGAAAAGTTCGAATACTATTTATTATTTCCTATAAATTCAACATTTGTGCCCTCTTTTTGCAAGTTCCTAAATTTTTCAGTTTACTATAATTTAGGAAGTCTACAGGATATACTGTTAAAAAAACTATGAGATAAATTCCAGCTCAACCAAATACTTACAAACTGTGTGACCTTAAGAAACTCCCCTGATCTCAGTTTTGTTTCAGGTAAAGGGAGTTATTAATCTCTACATCTTAAAGGAGTGCTCAAAGAATTGAAGTGAAACATTGTTATAAAGAACATAAAAGTTCCTCCAATACAGAAAGTACTCAGTAAATAATTCATGATTATATTACTTTATAATGATTGATACTATTATATTTCAAAGTTCTTGGACTTGATGAGTATTCTGAAACAACAATGAAATTAATATTTTAGTATTTAATCATTTTTTATGCAAGAATCACTTCCCCAAAACACCCTTTCTTCTTTCCTATCTTCTGGCAGGTTAATGGAGAAAGAACTAAAACTATTAGGTAGAAGAGGATTTAGGTCACAAGGATGCATAATTAAGTTTCATCTTTAATGCTTCCTGGAGCCTGTACTGTTGAGGAGTACTCTGGGGGAAATATTCTAAGCCAGAGTCTAAGATCTGAAGGGAAGAGGGCCCTACGAGATAGTCCACATCCTCCATGAATAAGGCAGGGAAGAATGGCAACATGAGTACCAGGTATTCATGACTCTGGTTAAAGATTATCAATAGATTTCAGTTACCCTTAGGTATGGATTATGACTATTCATATATTGTTATTTTCTTGTCTCGATTTCCTCTAGCTTCAAGGTTGGTCTATCTAATGCTGTCAGTTTTTTGATCTATAAGAACTTTAATCTTCTCACATGTCCCATGATTTTATATAATAGGGCTTTTTCCAATAATTCTTTTTCACAACACTGTTAAATATGCACAAGTCAAATGTTTAGTACAAAGCAACATGCATGCAATCACTTCAAGTACAAAATACCTAGAGAAAACATCATTTATGAACAAAGAAACCTCAGTTCTTCTTTCTTCCTACTGCATGAAGAAAAAAAAAAATCACACTCACGGGGTCATTTCTCCATCAAAGTCAAATAATGCCAGTTTGTGAACCATTAATGGACCACCCACCTAATGAATCCAAAGCTTAATGCCAACAGAAATGCTAGACAGTAGTACAACAGAAAGAGGAGAGCTATCTTCTAGGTAATGATTTTTAAATTTATAATACAAAAATGCTTCAGGGGTCCTGCAAATATTTTATTAAATTTGTTCATTGTTTTTTAAGCTTTAATTAAAAACATTAAGCACTCACAAGGGTTATTTACCTAATTTTAACAGCAGGAAGACTTCTGATGCATTAACTTGAGCTACCGGTATACTGATTTGTGCCAACCTCGAGCTAAGCTTCTCTCACCCTCTTTGTGCACATATTTTAACACTGTATAACATTTGTTTTAACAATTAAGTTTTAGACACCTCTTGACTGAAATTATATTGTTATAGTCATAATAAATACTACTGAGCTATTTTACATTTTCATAGAATTCTGTGTTAGATTTTGTTTGGGTCAGGGGGAGATTTTAAGAGGCTGATAAAAAAATTTTCAAAACCACCTTTGAAAGCAATCCATTTACTGAGGGCTTACAGGGTGGGAAAAATGCAGACTGAAATTAATATAGTCAAAGCTTCCCCTATTACTAGTAGCTTTTTTTTTCAGAGGGAAAGGCTTTCTAGAGATACCTATAAATATGAGCATGGTACTTGAATTCAGGAGACTTGGGTTCAAAACTGGCTTCACAATTTCTTAGCTCTGCCACCATGGCAAGCTGTTAGTCTGTGTTTTAGCTGCATGTCATAAAATAGAGATCATAATTCCTTCCTCAGAGAATTTTGAGGTTTGTTGAGATACTATATGTAAAAGTATTAAGCCTATACAATTGTAAGGTTTTTTTGGGGGGTGGGAGGGAGTCTAAATTCTACCTTAGACCATAGTAAGACTTGCTAAGTATAACAGGAGCTACTTAAATTTTGACTTACTGTCATTATAGACCATATAACACAGAGTCCTTCAAGTTTAAAAGATGACTCTGTACCCTCAACCTGCTACTACCTGACTTGAGTGGCCAATACCCTTCAGACCTCTGATGCCACTCTCTCACATTCAACATTTATATTCTTTCTGTCAATCCTTACAAAGGCCCTTCCATCCATTTCCACTGACACCACTCTAGTAAATACCTCTAGAGTCCAGCCTTTTCAATCCTCCATGAATATATCCTAAAGATTAATGCAAGAGCAATCATCCTTAAAGACTACATCCAGTATATCACTGCCTTATTTAAGAGTCCACAATAATGAGGATTAGACAGAAGATGACATGTTGGAATAAATCTGTTTAAGAGGTTAGGATTAGACTGGACTGCCTTAAATGTCAGGCTAAGGAGTCTAGACTTTTTCTGTAGACAAAGAAAAGCTACTACCAGGTTTTAAGTAAAGAAGAATACCATGTGAAAAGTAATATCAAAAGAAGATTAGCCAGGCCACAGGATTAATCTGACATTGGGATGTAAGTGTGGGTATGGAGGGGAGAGAGGTAAGGAAATAAGAAAATGTGAGTCCCTCACAGGCAAGTATCTCATTCAACTCTGGCTCCAGGGTGGACATAGTGTGGGGAGTTCAATAAGTCTGTTTGCTTAATGAACACTGGACACTCAAGTGTCTTCCTCTGGGAATAGTTTGGGTATTTCTACTATTGTAAATGCTACTTGCTTATAATACATAAATAGGGCAAATAACTGCAAAATGTGATTATCTTACATTTAATTTTTATTTATTTATAATCTCTAGTAATGAGTCAAGAATATCAAATCATTTGGAAAAAGCTACTAATTTTCTACTAATGTATAAATATCTAGAAACACTCATTCTATGCCTAACAGGTGAATATTTCAGTAAGTATTTCAGTTTTAGAAATCTCAGCATTCTTTGATTAACAATTAGTGATTTAATACAATTTAGAAAAGATTAAGTCAACTACTATACTTGTCTCCTTATTTCCTTTTTTCAGATATAACTGAAATAACAATATAATTTTAGGACTACCTATATATGATATAAGTTAGATATTTTAGAAAACTACATGGCACTTTAGAATTTATCTTATGGCTAAAATCTTGCAAGCTTAATTTATTAAAATTCTTATGAAACTTTAAAACTATGATCAAATAAGCATTTCACCTGGAAACGAAGAAAATTCTTGTATAATTCTTGCTGTTTAATTTGAAGTTCAGTTGGAGGCTCACCAAATATATTTCCCCGAGCAAAAGGAGAGCTCTGTGTTTGAATATGACCTTTAAGAGACATTTTGCAACAACATACCATTAGCCAATGTTTGAAAAATATAAAGGTTAAAGAATGAAGAGTTTGCTAATAAATTCATATTTTGAAAAACTGTGCTAAATACAGAAGTCCAGAGGTTAAAGTCAGAAGAGGAATGCTGAGATTTAGAATCTAAGATAAAATGTAGCAAGAGAAAGAAAAATGGTAAGACTGAAATAAAATTAACAGTTGAAAAATCATACTATAATGTCTGAAAGACACTCAGGAAACTTAAAAGCTAATAGCCTAAACAACTCTCACTGCAGCAAAGGCTTTAAAGTAGAATTTATAGTGAGAAAAAAAGTACATATTTAAATTCTTAAGTATGTGAATATTCTTTAAGAATACTGTTTCACTGCATATTAAAATCTATTACATATACATATGTATTAAATACATATTCAGATTTTCCTAAAATTGTTTTTAAAAATCAATAACTCCAAAATTCTTCCCTTCCATAGTTTAAAAATTAGAAAAGTCAGCTATAAAAACATTTTTAACAAATTAGAATAGTCTTAATCATTGTAACAGTTTTACTTTAAAAACTATCAAATTAATGGGATATAAACATGAACAATAAAAAATATTTTATTATATATCACTGATAAATAGTATTATATATTTTTGGAAAGGAAAAAAATTATTTCACAAAAGCAATTTGATAAACAATTATACCCTAGGAGTCTTTTTGAATGCAATGATTAAGCCTCACATAACTTCTTATATTATTTTGAGTTTCTGACTCATTCTTTACACCATCACTCTAAAGCATGGCTTTCTTTCACTCATGTAGTTTTGTGTAGGCAGATTATTTTGTAGTTTAGCTGCCATTCAGGTCTATTTTGCCTTTGTAGTTAAATTTACTCATGTTTATTTGAACAGATCAGCAGAAAGCCAAATCAATACTTAAACATTATGAATACATTTTTTCACTAGAACATTTTCCTACTGAAAACAAACTAAATATATACCTTGAAGGTTCTTTTAAATCTTGTGCATTGGTGAAAAAGCCATTTAGCAAAACAAAATTGAGTGTTAGTTTAACCTTGATAATCACTCATATTCTAAACCTTTGGGATAGTTAGAGAATAAATATTAGAGGTAAACAAGTACTTTTAAAAATAAATAAACTATAAAAATAAAACGATAGGGAAACACTTGTTCTATACAAAGAAAACAGAAATGTATCTAGGCATCATAATAAGCCAAAAAATAACTTAAGCCAAATTGTTATTGGACTTCATAAACAGTAGTTCATCTATAAACCCATAAAATACACACACATATATATACACTCACACACTCATACACAAATATATGGCACGAATTAGGTGGCTTTGGTTAGTTTCTTGCATTCATAAAATTTATCTTAGGTTAATTCTTAGGGAACGAAAGTCTAAGGGTATTTGAAATGTTAAACATTTCATGATTTTTTAAATGATTTCTTGAAATAGAGCATTCTGACACCACCACCAGCACAAAAACCTGGCAGTGGTACAAAAAGAGACAAATTTTGCTCTGCATATTTAATCATCAGGCTTATGCTCTTGGGAAGGGGTCACAGAAACTGTTGATTTTCCACTGTTTTTGCTTTGTGAGTAGAGCTAGATACCTAAGAGTGTTATTACTATAATACAGAAAGTTCTAGGCTGCAATTGGACTACACACAATACTGAGTATGGAAGAAAAGGGTGGAGAAGGGAACTATAGCCCTGAGATCTCAATACTGATTACTAGAAGCAGCAGCAAACAAAAAAGAACAAAATAATGATAATCAGAACGAAGCCAGAATTCTCTCTTAGCAGCAATAATATAAAACGTATTTTGATACTACTACTACACATTGAATTAGTACAGATTAAGAAAGCCAAATTAATAATTTCATCAAAATCAAAGGTTCCAATTTCAGTGTTCCAAAAACCAAAACCGGATTTACTGGGTAAAAATCAAAGTAAGAAAGTATTTTCTCATAATTAGAGATCAAACAGCAGAAGAAGCTGCCCACAGAACAGCAAACAATCCATCTCCTGAAGTGTTCAAAAAGACTGCAGATTAGTGCTACCATCAAAGGCTTGAAAAATGCAGGGCTAGTGACTCTAATCAGAGCTCCTCATTTATCCTATCTGTTTAGACAACAGGGTTTAAAAAAAAATAATAAAGACTGCATGATCAGTCAGGAGTATTTTAGAACTTCTTAATGTAAAGTTCCTTTCTAATCTAAATCAAAACTTCTGTGAAAGTACAAAAGCAGAATTTTAGTAAATAAATGGTTACTTTTATGGGAATCAAAATATAGTACAAGGTGGTGTATTCTTAAACTTCCTTTGATTTTTAAATATATGAATGTAACACACTTCATATATACTTGATAAAGACAGATGATGACAGCTTTTCCTGGCAAATCATAAAAAAAAGATATTGAATAATTTTAACTTATAGAACCTTTAATTAAATGATGTTAATAGCAAATCAAAGATATTTAGTTAGGAAAGATAGATGTGACCAGATATTAAACTTTTAATTATTTTACTTCTTTATTCACCATGGTTGTATAAAGGAGAGTAAATGATTACTAAAATAAGCAAAAAATGATTTTTCTCCCACGATTTATCATACCACACCTGATACCTTTTCACTAATTCAAACAGTTATGGATATATTGTGTATGTGCAAAAAGAGTATTTCACTTTAAGAAATATCTCTCAACTAGCAAAATAAAAATGTTAGCAGCAGTTAAAGCATACATAGCAAATTACAAAGCTGAGAAGAAATACACAGTATTAAGAAGCAACCTTTCCCTATTCACTTGTTTCAAAATAACTATGAAAAGGTATTGTAAATAGCATAAATAATGTGTTATGCTTCCTCAATCAGAATAACCAAATTCTCAAAATCACAATAAGAACTTTGTCAAAGAACAGAAATGTTAACTGAACTTTAGAAATGTAAAAAAATAGAATGTGATTAAAAACCTGAGTTTTTATTTGCAGAATCTTCTAGGTTCTCAGCATTTGAAGTTGCTAAATTTTGGTCTAGAGATACAACGGCCCTTTTATCTTCATGAGTTCTTGCATCTGGGTTATGGTAGGCATCTATATTTTGTCTGTGCATCCTATTCAAATCAGCTGAGGGAAAAATAAGCCATTTATTTCAATAAACACGTTTATATAACTGGTATGCTTAACACATTTTCTTAAAATAGGGAATCAAGAGAGAAACATAGGACAGAGCTGGGAATAATTCAATGATATGTTGGTGCCCTGAAAATGGAAACAAAATTATGAAAACTTGTTAAGATTTTCAAAATAACACTGCAAAATAAACTCAAAATTAATAGAAAAATTAAGGTTACATAAATCTTTGACAATCCATAAAAACCATATTACCAATGTTACTTCAGAACTTGAATTTTTTTTAAACATAGAACAGACATAGCAACAATTCAAAACAAGTCATAGCGAAATTTACCCAACATTATCAGCTCTCCTAATGAAAACACATAATCATGTACAGTGGAGTCATAAAACATATCCACAAATTCTTTGACAATCCTCCCTCAAAAGGTGACACTTAATTCCATTCCCCTTCATTGTGGTCCAGACACAGTAACTCACTTCTTATGAGGATACTGCAGAAATGACAGTATATGAAATCCAAGTCTACTTCATAAAAGACATGGTTTCCACCTTGCTTGATCTATGTAGCATTCACTCCAAAAAAAGCCAAATGTCATATCATAAGAACACTGAAGGAGTCCAAATGAAGGAGATGCCCAAATGACAAGGAACTGAGGCCTCCTGAATCAGGTAAGAGAGCCATATTGGAAATGGATCCTCCAGTCCCTATCAAGCCTTCGGATGACTGTAATCCTTGCTAATGTTTTGGACTACAACCTCATGACAGACCCTGAAACTAAACCACCAAGCTAAACCGTTCACAAATTACTGACCCACAGAACTACAAGATAATAAATGTTTATTATTTTTAAATTCAAGTTTTGGGGTAATTTATCACACAGGGATAAATATCTAATATACATGGCAAAAATCTCGGCAGCTAGAAATGGGTCAACCAGTCAGTCTCAAAAACAGACCAAATGATTGTAGAACTCAAAATCTTTAACAAAATAAAACGCAGTTCTTCTTTACAAAAAATCCAGGACAGTATAGAATATAGCAGTGAAAGTAAACTAAACCTGGATATTTAGTATTCATCAGGAAGCCTGTTATGTTCAAGGATATATTTTGAACAGGAATCACAATTAGAATACCAGACAGAACAGAGCAAACATGTGAATATTACAAAAGAGAATGGGAGCTCAGAATCAGGAAAGTTCACATCCTGTTAAAACAATTATGGCAGCTTGGACTTGGAAAATGAATAGGAGCTTCACAGGTGAAGATGAGTGGGAAAGCATAATAAAGAAATAGAACGATGTGAGAACATGCTCCAAGGGGGTAAAACATGAAGAGTGTTCTGGTAACATTAAAGTAGTCCAGCTTTACTAGAGCACAAATTACATGTAACAGAGCAATGACAGACAAGATAGGAAACTGCAGACTGGATGCCTATTCTGGAATATCCTAAAACACATCCTGATAGTTCCCAGTTTTGTTCTGTAGATGGTAATGGAAACAATGTGAGTCCATTTTGTGCTGTTATAACAGAGTACCACAGACTGAGTAATTTACAACGAACAGAAATTTACTGGCTCACAATTCTAGAGGCTGGGGAGTCCAATATCAAGGTGCCAGCATCCATGAGGGCATTCTTGCTGCATCACCATGTGGCAGAAGGCAAGAGGGCGAGACAAAGAGACTGAGAAAGAACATGCAAGCGCACAAGAGGGAGCCAAACTCCACCTTTTATAAGGCACAAATCCCACCCATGAGAATGGAGCCCTCATGACTAATCACCTCTTTAAAGGTCCTACTACTTAATACTGTTACAATGGCAATTAAATTTCAACATGAGTTTTAGAGAGGACAAACATTCAAACCATAGCAATTAGTAGTAATGGTAATAATATTTAATGTTCACCATTTTTATATACTATACAATAACTTATATGACTTGATACTATTATTTTTAACCCAGTATTATAAATGAGAAAAATTAAACTAAATTAATTAAAGATCACAAGTCTATAAATGGCTGAGCAAGGATATGAACTTGGGCAGTGAGACACCAGAGTCTTTAATGATTTTTAAGTATGGAATAAACATAATTGGTTAGATTTTTGATGTATGTTATGGCTTGGATATGAAAAACAAAGAAGGACAATGAAAAAGTAATGAGGAAATGGCACAAAAAAAAAAACCAGCCCAGGCGAACATAATAAATTTCAATTATGGTGGTAGTACAAATTAAAATGAAGAGAATTCAAGAAACAATGAAGAGGAAGAATCCATATATTAGGCATATTAACTGACTAGATATGGGGAATCAAAAGGACCCTGCAACTTTTAGTTTGAATGATCAGCAGCATTACGATGCCTTTAACAGAAAAAGGCAAATAAAGATGAGCTGTATTTTAAAACTTAAGTTTGATTTTGCATGTTATGTACAAATACTCCACCAAACATCAGTGCAGAAATGCAGAAGACATGTTCGAAATGAGGTGAAAAGTTTTAAAAGTGGTCAAGGGCACAGAAAGAAATCTGAAGATCATCCATAGAAAAGATCTAAGAAGTAACACAGGAGTAGAAGAGATGAGGTGGGAAAGAATGAATATAGGAATGAGAGTATACATGTATATACAGAGATCACAGTCTCTAAGATGAGTAAAAATCTACCTGGTGGTACATAAAAGAAATCTGACAAACTTAAAAATCATAAAAAGTATATTCTCTGAACAAAACAGAATACAAACTAGAATTGAATAAAAGAAAGCTCTCTGGAAAATCTCCTCAATATTAAGAAAATTTTTAAATCCACTTCTAAATTGCTGATGGGTCAAAGAAAAGTCACTAGGGAAGTTGAATTAAATGAAAATAAAAAATGACATATCAAAATCTGTAAGATATCACTAAAGCAGTACTCAGAGGAAAATTTATAGCATACTTAAATGCATAGAAAATAAATAGGATCACAAATCATAATCTAAGCTTCCACAGTAAGAAATCAGAAAAAAAAAAAAAGAGAGAAAACGAAGCTAAAGCAAACTAAAGGAAGAAAATAATAAAGAGCAGAAATCAATGAAACAGAAAAAGAAGAACAGTAGAGAAAAATCAATGAAAACGAAAGCTGGTTCCATGAAAAGATCAGTAAAACTGACAAACTTCCAGCCAGAATGATTAAGAAAAAAATGAGAGAACATAAAAATTACAAATATCAGAAACAAATGACAAGCCATCACTATAGATCCTATAGATCTTAGATGAATAATAAAGAAATAGTATAAACAACTTTATGCCAATAAATTCAAAAATTTAAATGGATAAATTCCTTAAATGATTCAAACCACCAAAACTTACACAAGAAATAGATAAACTGAGTACCTCTTTATGTATTAAAGAAATTGAATTCATAGTATAAAACCTTTCCAAAAAGAAAATTCCCAGCTCAAATAACTTCACTGGTGAATTCTACCAATAGTAGAAGAAACACTTCCCAACTCATGTTATGAGGCCAGCATTACCCTGACCACCAAAACCAGACAATGTCATTATAAGGAAATAAAAACAGACAAATATCTCTCATATGCCTAGATGTAAAAATTCTTTACAAAATAGTAGCAAATCGAATTCTACAAAATGTAAAAGACAATACTGCATGACTAAATATGGTCGAACATTCCATAATCAATGTAATCCACCATAAGTCAGAAGGGCAAAAAGACCAGATTATCCTCTCAATAGCTTCAGAAAAGCACCTCAGAAAATTCAACACACATTTATGATGAAAACTCTGAGCAAACTAGCAATAAGAGAGAGCTTCTTCAATATAATATTTTAAAAAATAATAATAAAATCTATGAAAAGCTTATAGCTAACTTCATGGTAAAAGACTGAATGCTTTCGACCTAAAATCAGGGACAGGACAGGGATGTCTGCTCTCATGATTTCTAAACATTGTACTGGAATTCCCAACCAGTGCAAGAGGCAAGTAAAATAAGTAAAAGGCATTCAGTTTGGAAAGGAAGAATAAAAACTATCTTTGTTTAAAGATAACATAATTGTCCAAATAGAAAAATCCCACAGAGTCTACAAAAAAAACTACTAAAACTAACAAGTGAGTTTAGCAAGGATACAGAATACAAGGACAATATACAAAAATCAACTGTATTTCTATACACTAGCAACAAACAAATGGATATTAAAAATTTTAAATGTATCATTTAAAATAGGATCAAAGCACATGAAATACTTAGGGATATAATTAACAAAATAAATAGTACAAGACCTGATACTGAAAACTACAAAATAATACCAAAAGAAATTACCTACAAGCAGTAAATGGACAGATATTCCACATTCATGGATCAAAAGACTCAACATTATTAAGATGTTGGCTGTCCCAAAATTGATCTATAGAGCCAATGCAATCCCAATAAAAATCTCACCATGTTTCGTTGAATTTGACAAACTAATAGTTAAATACATAAAGTCAAGTTGTCAAAACAATCTTGAAAAAGAACAAAGTTGGAGAATTCTCATCTCTTAATTTCAAGTTATTGCAAAGCCACAGTAATCAAGATATTACAGGCAAAAGTATAGACATATAGTGCAATGGAACAGAACTGAGAGTCCAGAAATAAATTTATGGTCAATTGTTTTTTGACAAAGACCCCAAGACAATTCAATGTGGAAAATGTTCTAAAATTGATTGTGTGATTATAGGACAACTCTGTGAATATTCTAAAAGCTACTGAATTGTACACTTTACAAAGGTAAATTGTGTGTCATGGGAATTAGATCTCAAGAAAATTGTTACATACATGGATAGATAGAGAGGAACTCTCACAGACTGGAGGAGACTAAAGAGACATGATAACTAAATACAATGTAGGATCTTGAACTGGAGCCTGGAATAGAATAAGGACATTAGGGGGAAAATTGGTAAAACCCAAATGAAGTCTGTAATTTAATTATAAGTATTGTACCAATGTTTTTTGGGGTTTTTTTTGTTGTTGTTTTTTTTTTTAATTGTCTTTTTGTCTTTTTTCGTGACCGGCAACAGATCGCAACCCTCAGTGTCGCGCCCGGACCGGACCGGGACCGGCAACGGGATCGCAACCCTCGGTGTTGCCCCCGCTCCTCGCTCAGCCAGTGAGCAGCCGGTCCGTATGTGGGATCCGAACCCTCGGCGGGAGCACCGCCGCACTTCCCAAGCGGCGCACTGTAGCAGTGCGCCACCGGGCCGGCCCAGTATTGTACCAATGTTAATTTCTAGTTTTGAACATTGTGCCATGATTATCTAAGATGTTAACATTAGGGGAAACAGGTAAAGGGCACTCTCTATACTACCTTTGCAATTGTTCTATAAGTTTTAAATTATTTCACAATAAAAAGGTTTAAAAAAAAAACAGTGAGGTATCACTACACAGTTAATAGAATGGCTACAATTTTAAAAACACAATTTGAAGTGCTGATAAGGCTTCAGAACAAGGAAATCTCTTGCTTTCATGATGGGAATGCAAAATGGCACAACCAATTTGGAAAATAGTCTGGCCATTTCTTACAAAGGTAAACACACTCAACTACATGACCCAGCAACCCCATTCCCAGGCACTTACCCAAGAGAAATAAAAACTATGTTCACACAGAGACCTTAAGTAAATGTTTATAACAGCTCTATTCATAACAGCCTTAAACTGGAAACAACCCAAATGTCCATCAGCTGGTAAATGGATAAACAATTTTGGTACCTCCAAACAATGCAATACTACTTGGGAATAAAAAGAAATAAGCTACTGACATATACAACAACATGGCTTAATCTCAAAAACATTACACTAAAAGAAAAATATGAGGAAAAAAGGCAATACTATTGTGCCAGAAAGTATGATTTGTCACAGGTTGGCAAGGGGTAGATGGTTGGGTAAGAGGACTGACTATAAAGGGACACAGGGAACTTTCTGCAGAATTGTAAATGTTCTACATCTTGATTGTGGTGGTGGTAGTTACTAGAATCAGTAGTCAAAACTCACTGAACTTTAAAAGGGTGAATTTTGCTGGCCAGTTAGCTCGGTTTGTTAGAGCACAGCCTTATAACATCAAGGTCGCAGATTCTGATGCCCATACCGGCCAGCCACAAAAAATAAATAAATAAATAAATAAATAGAAGGGGAAATTTTATTTCATGAAATTGTATCTCAATAAACATAAATAATAAATTAAAAAACATAAATCTAACTTGGGCAAATCCAATACATAAAAGAAATAGGAATACCTAACCAAATATATATGAAGAAATGTTTAATTGCACTATTAATCAATCAGAACTATGAGTTTTTTTTGTCATCTTTCAAGTTAAGTTTTTCACTTATTTTTTAACTTTATTTTCATTGACTTTTCTTTTGGTGTATACTTGTGTTTTTTTAATTTTAACACATACATAGTTTCATGTAACATCAAGACAGAAAAGTTCCATCACCCATAAAAACTCCATCATGCTATCTCTTTATAGTCTTTGCCTCTCCCCACCCATAATCTCTGGAACCATTGATTTGTTCTCCTTCCCTATAGTTTGGTCATTTTGAAAATGTTGTATAATGGAAACATGCATGTATATATAACCTTCAGAGGAATTCTTGGCATAATTCCTAATGACAGTCTTCTGAATTATTGTATGCATCAATAATTCATTCCTTTTTACTGATGAGCAGTATCCAATTGTATAGATGTACCACAGTTTGTTTCTCCATTTACCCATTCAAAGACATTAGAACATAATTAGCTTTTTAATGGGAACTTGAATAATGAACTGTAATGAATAAAGAACTGAGAAAGGAAACAGATTTAAGTACGGTAAAAATAATTAAAATGAGAGCTATTTAAAAGATTTCATGCTAACTTACAGTTGTATTAATAACAGCCTTTGATATTTCATTAATATCTACCTTCTCTTTTAAACAGATCTTCCTAGAGAGCTCAGATAAAAATGAAGATTCAATTTTCTAAATTTCTTTGGAATAAAAAATCAAAAGAAAACAAGAGGAGTAATTAGAAAAGCCAGCAGCAGAATTAAAGTTAGCCAAGATAAACTACATAGGTTAAATGGTCTTGGTCATCATACTGCTCTTTACTACATATTTCAAATATAATAATACAAAAATTATGTTCCCTCATCTAAAATACAAGAGACAAATACAAAACAAATATTCTTAAAGTGATGAGTTTACTCACTTTGAAAATATCACTAAAAAAAGAGTTTCACTGTATCTGATAAAATAGTATATACCTTTTCTGTTTCATGGCATGACTGTAGCATTAAATAAGCAAACTAAACATTACTACTATTAATGGAAATCTCAGAAAAGTTTCCTCCATTCCGGTTAGGTCAAGCAATTCTAAAACAATATTTTATAATTCAATAACCCACATTTATCCTACACACTTTCACCAATTAAATGCATACAGAGCACCGTAATTATATTGTTTGAACTAGAAATAATCGGAGGCACCCTGGAAAGTTCAAGGAAATTGTTCTATTCCAGTGTCTCCTAATGTTTCAGTCATTTAAGCACCTCTTTCATGATAACTAATATATTTCTATCAATTTACAATTGAAATTTATTATACCAAAGACTGGCTATATGCTTATCAATCCTATGTCCTCCTGGGCATAAAAAATCCTAAACTTCCCAGCCTCCCAGACAGTTAGGTTAGAATCCTATAAGTAGGTCTGAACATTGGAATGAAGGCAAAGGTGATATTCCTCCATTCACAGACCAGGCCCCAACAATATCCTCAACTTGTTCTCCCCACCCCCTGGACCATCTGTGCAGTCAGAAGTAAAAAACCCCAAAATGGAGAAGTGACACAATGGAAGAGGTCCAGATTCCTGAGTCACCTCTTGGAGGAGAACCACCCAAACAGCACCATAATGTGACATAAGTAAGAAGTAAACTTATATTACCTTAAGCCTCTGAGAATTTGGGGTTGTTTGTTGCAGCACTTTTCATTAGCCTGGACTAATACCTTTAAGTAATACCTTTACTTTAAAAGGAAATGTTATAGCACTATCCATAAATAGAAAACCAATGTTTTTCCAGTATATTTTCAAATAAACTCTTCTTTATTAAAATAAGACATGTTCATCTATGTGTCACCTAAAATCTTCTCATCTATAAAGAAAGTAACAAGAGTTCCAGTCTTCCAAAACTGTGAGGAAAGTATTCATCAGGTGAAGACAAGAAAGGAACGTATCTTTTGGGAAGAAAAGAGTTATCTTAATTTAAGAAGGCCTCAAATATAACTTTTTTCTGAAAAAACAATATTTAGCGAAGAATCAAAGGCATAATACATAAGAACTCGAATAACTCAATATCCAAACAATCTTCTGATTCCATCACTCACCTATCCCTACAAAAACATAACTCCTAAAGAACAACATAAAATCTACAATTTTGCAGTTTGAATACGTTACTTTTCTATTACCCTTAATTTCTCATTTATAATTAAACAATTTCCAAAAGCCCATTATCTTTGTTCTACTTTATTCTGCTTAGCTGAAAGCTAATCAGAGACCATCCTAATCTCATATTTCACTAAGTTGCATAATGCCTTTTTCAAAGTGTTTGTTGTGTGATCATTAGATCAAAAAATCTTTTGAGTACATAACTGAAAGATAAATCAACATAATTATGCAACCTGCCAGAAAGTTTCTGAAATCAGGTCTTCTTTTCTTTTTCAAAGGAGTCCTTGCATTGAGCAGATATATTGCATATATGAATTAAACACAAGATCCCCTACCACAACTATTCCAGAGCATTTATTTTTAAGACATATTACTAGTTTTTTAAAAAAGCTTATAATACAGGTTTTATTATTTTTTATTAGGAAATAAAAAAAATATTCTAAGTACTAGTTTCAGTAAAAACTTACCAATTAACATGAGCTTCTCTCTGCAGGTGGGTTATCATCATCAAAGGATAGAAAATTTGTAATAAAAATAAATAATACTCTGAAAAAGAGAGGCTTTCTAATTTCTGTTGTTATATTTAATATCAAAATACCTCTTTTGCATTAAGCTACATAAAAAGAGATCTTGCTCTACAGGCTATGATTCCCACTTCTTTCTACTCGCCACTCTTTTACAAAGTTAAAAATAATTTAGTTTATCTTAAAAACAAGTCAATGGAAGTAACATACTTATCAGATTTCCTTTGGCATCCCTGAGAGGAGCACCACCTCCACCTTTCCCCCAGGGGTTATAACTTCTCATTTCAGCTTCTAATTTAGCTTCATATTCTTCTTTTTCTTCACGTTCTCTCTTCCTTCTTTCTTCTCTTTCCCGAATCTTGACAACATAAGATACATTTAAAGTGCTGACAAGTATTCTGATATAAGAGGTTAGTAACATCAAATGTTATTTTATTTTTTGTTAGAAAAAAAAACCTGAAAATATTTTTTTCAGTACTTTTCCCTATAAAGTTTAAAATCACAAATATATGTAATCCCCAACTCAAAAACACGTTGATAGCTGGAATATACACAGCTGCTGCTCCCCCATACCATGACACTGGACGCCTTTCCAGCCACTAAGGCCATTTCAGACTCAACCAACTCCTCCCCGTCAGCCTCCTCCAACTCCCACCTGAGCCATTCCCTCCCTAATCTCACCAGTTCCATGGGACCATGAGGGGCCTCCCTGCTTTCCTTTTTCATCTATCCTTTCATGAGAACTGCCCAGCCACATAGTCTACTCCCTACCTCAGCAGACCTCCTCTCCCTGGGGAAACTCTATTCCCAGAATTCAGAGAGGCCAAAGGTTCAAAGGTCCTTGGGGAATGGTAGGCTACTGAAGTACAGCTTTATGAAAGCATACAAAATAAACACATTGGTATCATCACCAAGTATAAGCACACAGGGTTGTTCTCTACAATACATATGGATAGTCGAACAAGTACCTACATTATGGAAAGTCATTTTTAAACTCATAACTACATGCACAGTAAATTTAAGCAACCTTTTACTTCAGCATGGCCAAAAAAATTATCACATACATAAAATAGACTTCTAGAGTTGGAAAATCTTGTTTTGTCAGTGGTGTTTGTAACATGCTCATTTTAAAACAGATTTCAAATTCAAAATTCAGTCTATTATTTGGAGAATCCTAAATATAAAAAATAATGTTGGTAATTCTACAATTTAAAAAACCCACCTCTCAAGAAAGTTGCCCATGTAAAAGTTGAACAAAAGTACATTTAGAAGAAATCCAAATGGAACTTCATAAAAAAGTGCCTCAGATATATACCTATCAAGAGTCCCAGAGCCCTCTCAGAGATAAGGAAATTCCCCAAAGAACCCCACACATTTGATAGTTATTCTTGAATAAGAAAATTCTCTTCAAACATTACAAATTACAACAGACCCACTATCCTCCTCCTTAAACATGTTCTTCTTCCTGTATTCCCTATCTTGGTTTACAGCCTCATTATTTTTCTAGATTAGAATATTCATCATCTTCAAACCCTTTCTCATTTGTTATGTCCAAGTCCTATCAATGAACCTCAGAATTGTCTCTTGCATGTCCTCACCATCTTCCCCATCTGGTTCAGGGCCTCATCACCTCCTGGCTGGACTACCTCAATAGTTTACTAAAAGATTTCTGTGCTTTGTCTCTTTGCTAACCATCCATATCACAGCCAGTTATCTTCCTAAAAGATAAACCTGCTCACTTCAACTAATCCTTTCACTCTTTTCTTGGCTTAAAATTTCCTTCCTTTGGGCCGGCCCGGTGGCGCACTGGATAGTGCGCCGCTTGGGAAGTGCGGCGGCGCTCCCGCCTGAGGGTTCGGATCCCACATACAGACCGGTTCCCGCTCACTGGCTGAGCGAGGCACGGGAGCAACACCGAGGGTTGCGATCCCATTGCCGGTCCCGGTCCGGTACGGGGGCGACACTGAGGGTTGCGATCCC